GTACCATCCGGATTTTCGCTACGCAACGCTTGAAAAAGCGTTGCGTAGCGAAAATCCGGATGGTACCCAGGCTACCAAAGTGCGGCCTGTCAAACCTACAAGGCAGCCAAACTCCCCTGGCAAATATTCTCCTATATATAGCCAGCGTAGTTAGTCAGGTAGAGACAACATTTTTGGTATAGAAGCCTAAGTAAATGAGCTATTGGGTGTGATACACAGTAGCCATAGCGACAAAGGAAGCCGCATTTACTAGTATATCTAAACTGTTGATAAATTTATAATACGTAGTACATGATACATATAAATAAAAGTCTTCCTCAGTCGCTAGGCGCCACTTAGGTGTGTCACATCACATGACCTTCAAGAAGATCACACCTGGACATCGTCCTTGTCATAATTAACGTTATCGCGGTAAAAACTTCATGTATCTTCACAAACGCGTAACATTCGTAAAGAAATAATCTAATATCATATGAACCACACCTAACTACCATAGACCCACCCTTCCTTCAAGACAAGACACGTACTAGTAGTTGTACGCCGTAAAATAAATTATTTATACGTGCGCCAAATTTAAATATTTGGGTGTCATTTTCAGGTATTTTCACAACTCGAAACTTGTGACAACTTACTAATAGTGTGACCTACCACACTGACAGGCTGTCAAAGTAACAAAAATGTTTGTGAAATCTTAATTGGAACCACCAGAAGGTACAAAAAGGTAAATATTTAACTTCTTGGAAATGCGGAACCACCAAGGCATCACGAAAGAGAAGCTAGGTCACGTAGACTTCTAAGTAACTTACCGGCTTTTCGCCGTACAGAAACGATCAGAAACTTGGCCAGTGCCTCCAGGCAAGTGAGATGTCCCCCTCCCCTTGGCCCAACGTTGTTTCCTGTTTCAAAGCGGTACAGAAAGTTGACAAAACTGAAGAGAACCTCCGCATTCCTGCACACAAATTTCACAACACACGCGCCGGTGAGGATGACCTTTTAGATGAGGTCATGACACCACATTACAACGCTAAAGTCTGAGTAATCATTCTAGCATCTATCGTCTTTAAAATAGCTATTATATCCATTTTATATAGTAAAAAAATACACTAAAATTGTATTGCACAACAAAAGTCAGGTTTAGTCAGTTAGGTAGGTATGTTGGGTAAAAGAATTCTTTTTTAATATTCGCGGTTGTTTGCCTTCAATGCTGCTTTCCCGTACGTCATCCAAATACATCGCTTTCATTGGATGAATTTTGGTCACGAAATCTTATTGACCAATCAGCAGTGCAGTAGAGTTGAACAACCGGATATCGTAACGACTGGACGGATTTGGCGGTAGGTTTGAAATGTTGTCGTAATTTCTCTCCAATTTTCCGCCAAAGTTTCGCTGTATGAACTCTCGTTATATCATAAGATTGTATTTATTACCAGCTTGGGTTGTTCTGTAGGTGGTCATTTGCCGGTAGTTGAAGAAATAGGGAGGTTTCTCGTCTGTCATACTCAGATTCATAACGTAGCTACCGAGTGTCTTTCTCTACTTCCAAAATAATCTTCGGCAAAGCTACACTCTCAGTCTTTGGAGTCTTCTAACTGATTAGTGTATCATTTCACGGTCTTCGTAGGTGTGAACAGGAAACATGCAGAAACCTAGAATGAACGCTCAAAAAGGAATCTGAATGCTTTGTTAGTTGACAAAAATAACTAGTACGTTACCGCCACCTGGCGTTTCTGCAGTGAAGTGTAATTTGTAATACACGTAATACATTTACAAACTTGGACAAGTGTACAACTACAGTACATGTATTACGAAAAACAGAAACCTTTAATCTACTTATTTACTTTCTCCACTTGCACAAGCAAGTTTATCTGTGCCTGTATGAAACATTATTCAGAATGCAAAAGTTTAGATTCTCATAGTCATACTCAAGTTACCATGATTATTGATGAAAACAACCCTTTCCCTTCTGAATCATTCTCGAATATTTATCTTAAAACAGATTTTTAAACATGGCTGAAGCTGGCAGCATGAAGAAGGAGTCTATCATGCAGGAGAAGATGGACATTGTGAGTGAGATGATCACCATGCTGGCTGCCGGGGAGCAGGCAGAGGAGCTGGAGCGAGTCACCGAGGTCTGGGCTAAAATCAACCAGCTGAGGGAGGAACAGCAGGAAGATGTCAAGAAAACCATACAAGGTACAAAACATTGAATTCTGATCGACCATAATGGTCAGCAATGCCAGTTAATGAGCATGGCTCGAAATTCCTTTTTGGGAATAGATGCACTCAGTGCACTGGTGCACCCAACGTTAAAAAGTTGGGTGTACAGAAAAATTTTTGGGTGCACCGTATAAAATAAAATAAGTAGAATGTCACCAAAAACAAATTATTTCTAAAGAAAAGCACTATAACAATTATTTTATTATTTTTCTGACACGTAATGTTAAGAATATGCACATATACTGATATACAATTGTCATCTTTACATATGTAAACCTTCTGTACTGTAAAATATCACTTCTGTACTCCTGACAGGGAACATAGCTTTACCATCATCAAATTATCTATTTTTAGCCCCCTCCTTGCACTTGCTGCCACTGAAACTAGATTTTCCTCAAATGTGAAATTTTGCTACCATTAAATAAAAGACAAAGTGAATTACAGTATCCAATGGAGAACATTATACTCACTTGGTTATACCTTCAACAAGTGCCATACTAGTATAGTCTACTTTGTAAGCTCAACAGTAACATCAACATGTCTCTTGTCTTGTGAAGCACTATTGGCTGTGAGTGAGGAAGAAGAGCAGAAGGTGAAGAGCATCAGCCAATCAGAGGAAGGATACCAACGGAAAGAGGCTGAGCTGGAGGCTGAGAAATCCCAGGCTGAAAAACAGAGACAACAGGCTGAACAGGGCGTTCAATATCCTTTTATGGGCATTGTCCAGGTCATACTAGGTTAATGTATGGGTATGAATCTCAAAATATAATAATAAAGGATTATACTAAGATGGTAAGTTAGGATTGACATGGATTGATGATCATTATCTGAGCAGTCTGAGTGAAAAAAAGTAGTGAAGTTTGATTTGATTTGATTTGATTTATTGAAATTGTATTGTAACAAAACAGTACACGTGGGACACAGGCAGCTGTTGTTGGTGTTGTGTCCCACACATAAAAAAACAAATACAGGACAGACAATAGTCACAATGTGACAATACTCAATTTCACTTCAGTTATGTTAGGAAAGTCATGAAAAGTGCCTTTCTCAAGGGACAAGGGCACAAGATCGATTGTGAGGAAAATTGTTTTCCCAAAGTTGAGCCCCATTATAGCAGTCAGAAATTAGAACCCAAAACTTCAGTTCTGAAATCTGATTCTTTACCTGGACACAGTTTAGGACATGGAAGATGTATGATGAAACTTCAAAACTTTTTTCACACAGTGACACACCTCCTTGCAGACAATAAGTCTGAATTGGTACTGGTAGGTATTTACAACGATAAGATAAAAGTGCTAAGGAGTTAGATCATGATGTTTACCTTAACTTACTCCCACATCCCTCATGGGGAAGGTAGAAAAACTGAAAGAAGAACAGGCGGCAGTGAGCAGGCAGAAGGAAACTGTCAAACAGAACACCACAGAGGCTCTTCCTGATGTCAGGTAAGGGGTATTTTTTGTTTATCCAGCTCTAAGTTACATTTCTACATGTGGAAGGCAGTGCAGTACTGATCAACACATTAGCCCTAGACTAGAGGCAAATGTCAGATGTACTCTTTGTAGTTTTTAAAAACCATGTCAGACATGACCTAGTATGGGTTTTCAAATGGGTTTTCAATGTCTGCTGACTGCATTTCAACAGAATGAAAGAATCTATGCCATACTTATCTTTCCATAAAATCATGACTGTCGTGTGTTAACATTTATGGTTTGATTTTTCTCAGGTACCTCGCTACACTGTACTCCAATGTGACCAAACTGAAATGGGACTTCACCGGTGGACCAGATGATATCAAAGGATGTATCCTTTTTCATGAATAATTTTTTAGATATTGATAAACATTAAACATTTGTATACAACTTGATCTTCTTGTTTTTATAACAACACTGATGTAACTAGAAAGGTGACATTTGCAAAGCAAATGCATAATGTTTACCTCCCATATGGTCTGTTAATTCTTACTCAAACACATCCACATGTATGGTGACAGGAGTCTAAATCCCTCCTGCTATAAAATTGCAACATGATGTAACCCAACACCAGTTACCATGGTGACAGATGTCTTGTTGAGGTCATTGACCTTATTGGTTTGAAGATTTTAGAAGAGGAGAAGGAGGAAACAGAGGAAAAACAATATGTTTTCCTTCAGTAAACATAATTACCAGTACAATTTTGGTACCAGAACAAGATAGCTCAAAGTGTTTTAGAATTTTACATGGTAAATGTACTTTATGCTGTGGCCAGTATGACCCTTAACCTTTGCCCTCAGTTGTGACCTGTAAGTCGGACGTGAAGCCCTTCTCTCTCAACTCCAAGCAGAACTCCAAGTTCTTCGTGGCCAACTACCTCTGGGACCTCATGGACGAGAGCTTCGACTGAACACTACAGACTTCTTACAGAAATTAGTCTTGTAAATATTTACAAAGCCAGAGAAGTTAGATAGATCAGAATTCTGTCTTGTGTAAGATTTGCTTTATTAACAAGAAGACAGTTTTTGTATCTATGTTAGAGACTTAGACTTCATCACTCAAACTGATAATTTGGATATGTAGTAAGAATTAAGATAATGCAGAGAGTCAAGAGTTAGAGACATAGGACATAGAAAGACATATATAGAGACATACCAGACCTTCCATATTGCAGTGTTTTGAACCATATACTACCTGTAAATACAATGCACTAAACTGTTAGAAACTGAATCCTCTGTATAACTGCCAATATGTACTACATGTAGTTGTATCAAGGTTTTTAGCAAAAAGAACATAATTCAGATTAAGAAGCAATGGATTGTATTTTATCTCACTTTGAAGTTCTGAAATATGTGTCTTGATAAACTTAGTCACGGATGGAAAAAATTTTGTCTGGTGTTATGTATGTCAAAGATCAAAGGTTAGCTATGCTCAATTAAGTTGATGTCTTTCATGCCATTTTCTTTTGTACTCAATTCAGACCACCTGTTCTACACATAGTCTTTGCCAGGCCCCTCCCAACACTAAATTAAGTTTGGAAATTGCCAAATTAGAGGAAATTGCACAAATTTGACAGTGATTGTCCACGTGGGATGAATTGAGGCATTTCTCTAGTTTATTCCTCTGATCTTGCATGTCATTTTCTTTTTTACTCAGTTCCAACAACCAGTTCTACATGTCTTTGCCAGGCCCCTCCCAACACTGAATAAAGTTTGGAAATTGCAAAATAAGAGGGAATTGCACAAATTTGACCATAATTAGCCTCGTGGGGCAAATTCAGGCATTTCTCTTGCTAATTTAGTCCTTAGTTTTGGAAATTCATTCAACTAGTTTTGACCAATTATTGCAATTATAAGAGGCGGGTCTGGTGGACAAGGCACTTACTGTATAGTTAGGCCATGTTGATGTGATTATATGGATGACATCCTCGTGCGCATGAATTTTTGGCTGTTTAAAAAAAATGAATTTTCAACCATACTGTAAATCAGTTGTTCCCATACTTTGAACACCCTTAAAGAGCAAATGATAGATTTATATTTTTGATGCGTCTAGACAAACCCTGTATCACAAACATGATCTGTTCCCACATTTTCCATTGTACAAAAAAAGCGAGATGTTGACCATTCTGTATTATAATTGCCACAACAGTTGCAAAATGAGCAAATATATACCATGAGTTGAAAAAAACTGGAAAACGATAGCAATGTCGTAGAAAACCAAAATTAAACGAAAAAGACGAAAATGTACTAGTAAAGAAACGAATTTGAAGACTAGATTAATATTATTCGCCAAACCATACTCTTTGTCATTTGTTCAACCTTCAAAACCACGCAGATTTCATAATGAAAGCAACTTTTCTTGCCAAACTTTTTTTTATTCGCACGCTCGCATCAGTTTTGGGGTTCCCAGAGGATGTCAACCATCTAATCAAATCAACATGGCCTAATTCAAATACGTAAACTAAAATAAAGTAATTTCCATGCATTAACAGACACTCCGTCCCGCCCAATCTTGTAATAGTACACCCCTGCCCAAACCAATATAAGCCAGGCGACCTCGAAAACTATTCAGTAGTGGAACAGGTTTATCTGTCTACGACGACACCATTTGACAACACCAAAAGGACGACTGAGAACCCAGGCGACAAACATGTCGAAGGTAAGGTTTAGCTTTTCACTATCATAATAGTTGGGTACGTCAAGGAGGTTTAAATAAACCTCCTTAGGTACATCATGGATTTCTACCTCCATGGGTACATGTAGTCTCTACCAGGCTTCTGGGGGCGGCTGGAAAGAGTAAAAATAGAGAGATAGTGTGCCAGAGAAGGTTGGTTGGCTGGAGAGAATACTTAGTAGTTTGCCGCACCTGGCATGCTATCTCTCTATTTGGTCGATTTCTACTCTTTCCAGCCGCCTCCCGAAGCCTGGTAGACTCTAGGGTACATGCACACTCTTAAAGTCAAGTGAAAGTCAACGCACAACGATTGTCACGGGTACAATGCATGGCAATTAAAGTCAGTACTAGTTGGTATGAGTCTATCATAATGCTACATATGGTCAACGGTTACTGTGTCTGACAGAGTGTTATAAATGGTGATGAACGTTACGTTAGGTATCACCAAAGTCATGAAATAAGCCTACATTTCGTCCATACAAGTCAATTTAATTCTGTAAGACTCAGTTTAAAGTCACCCAATGCAATTTTAGGGAGGCAAATAGGTTAATATCAGGCAGCTTTCCTCATCCAGAATATTTTGTGTTTCGCCACCCTAAAATTGCATTGGATGCAAAATTTTTGTGTACTTTGACCAAGGAGGTTATACTTATAGGGGATGTGAAAAGCTATAACCTAATGTTTATCTCACTATTAAGCAGACAAGTCTAACTCACGATTTCGTTTGTGGTGCACAGTTAAGAAAAGTGGAAATGGACAGATACGTATACTGGACTTGTAAAATGTTTCCCTGTCACAAAATGCACCATAGATTTACTAACAAGATTTTACTGGCGCAACACGCCCGCTTCACCTGCATTTCAGGAAAGTCGGACCGTTTCGGCCCATGGACATTTCGACACGAAATCCAGGACGTTTCGGCCTCATGCCGTGGACGTTTCGTTCCCAATGCAGGCATAAGATCCCAAATCGGCTCCGTCAGTTTTCTAACACATTATGTTACATAGTTATTTAACCCTTGTCCGTATTCGCGGCTGCATTCACCCTTGCTGCCTCGATTTACAAGTGCTACTGTATATATCTAAAAATATGTGTTCGCCAAACAAAACGATTGTTCGAATAATCGGTATATATTTGTAATATCATACATATATTCATTTGATAACTCAGCCGTTGTCGACGATGCAAATCAATGGAGGGGCCGGTTATGCTAATTGAACCAGCTCATTTCGAGATGTTGTCTGTTCAGTATAAACTAATTAACTAAATTGCCGCTGCTCAATTATGGTATAGCCCCTCCCACGGAATGATTGGCAAATAGGAGCAAAATTTTCATTGCCTTTGGAATTAAAGGCTAACAAAATTGTTATCCCTTGCAAACATCTAAAATGTTATGAATTTATTATCAACCATTTCTTAACTCAGAAGTAAAGAAAAGTAATATTTGTATGGTATGGTGACGATTTGTTTTGATTTTTTTTCATTCACTGTACTTTGTTGCCAGCACCTTTGCCAATATTGTACTTTACGAAGGCCCACAACGACACTTTCATACACCTCTTTCGCGGCCCTTCTACACCGCGCTACCAAGGCCGCGGAAGAGGTGTATGGAAGGTATAGCCCTTTAATGGCAGCGCGGTGTGGCAGGGTCGCGGAAGAGGTGTATGGAAGTGTCGTTGTGGGCCTTCGTAGTACATATGAACTGCGCTTAGCCGTCATGGGCATGAATGTTCAAGTAGACATCATTGGCATTGTCAATATATTCCTTTATTTTGCGACTGCAGGAAAAGTTTGAGCGTACCAAGCCCCATGTGAACGTTGGAACCATCGGCCATGTAGATCACGGGAAAACAACGCTCACTGCGGCCATATCCACAACAAGTAAGATCTTTAGGATCACACAAGAATGAATGAATAAATGAATGATCATATGAATGAATGAATGGTTTATTTGGTCATGTTGATCGAGTCAAAAGTACATCGCTGCCATAGGCTGAATTGAGTACTTCTTTTACATATTTAAAAACATTACCGCTAATCTTATGTTAATTTATTAAAATGTGAAGAAATGAAAACGAAGAGTCTATTTTTCACCATGTCATACTCTGTGTGTTTAGTCACTTGTTCCACCTTCATGACCACATGTAAGATGTTACCTTTTTGCCAATCTTTTTTTTATTTGGACCCTCGCATCAGTTTTGGGGTTCCCAGAGGATGTCACCTATATAATCAAATCAACATGGCGTAAGGGGGCGTAAAAGTTTTTTTTTTAGTTACTAGTAACTATTTTATTGCAAATTCGTGCCCGAGGGCTAATTGCAGGAAGAGAAGAAATATATGGTATAAAAAAACAGACAATTGGTACACATAGAACTACTGATAACTACTGTACTAAGAAACTACTAGTAAAAACTACTGGATTTGACTTCTTTGAAGACAGAGGAAGACAAAGGATCCCACTTTTTTCTGTAATTTGTGGGTTTTCGGATGTTAAGAGGAAAGTAGCTTTGGGTAGAATTTGGAGGCTATGTCAAAGAGTACATTTCGTTCATTGCTATCTATGAAATATAGTCACGGTTGCTGACAGACATTTTCGTTTCATCTAGTTGCTAAAGTCTATGGCGGCGAGGCGACGAGCTTCGATTCCATCGATAATGCACCGGAAGAAAAAGAACAAGGAATCTCCATCTATACAGCACATGTGGAGTACGCCTCTCCAACCAGGCATTACTCACATTTGGACTGCCCAGGACACGCAGACTACGTCAAGGTAATAAATAGTTGTTTTATTGACAATTCATGCCTGAGGGCTAATTGCAAGATAGTACAGAAGAAACATTGTGTGTAAGAACAGGTAATTGATACACAGAGAACTTCTGTTAACTCCTAAAAACTACTTGCTTTGGCTTAAATTTTTTCAAGACAGAGGAAGACAAAAGATCCCACTTTTTCTGTTACGTCCCTGTCACATTCATACGTCATACTACAGATTTACGTTACGACAGCATAGTTAACACATACTTATCTAGCATTGAATGTTTCGCACAGAATTTAACTGTGTGATGCACACTGTTAATGCACACACACACACACACACACACACACACACAAACACACATACACAGACACACACACACACACATACAAACACACATACAAACACACACACACACACACACACACACACACATATATATATATATATATGAGATAGAGAGATATAGAGAGAGATGGATAGATAGATAGATAGATAGATAGATAGATAGATAGATAGATAGATAGATAGATAGATAGATAGATAGATAGGTAGATAGATAGATAGATAGATAGATAGATAGATAGATAGAAAGTTAATACAACACACATACACACACATACATGAATTATGGTGTGTATTCTGGTGTTACCTGCTTGCACATGATATGCTTTATCTTGAATATGCTATCAAAAGACGTATGGTTGACCGTGTATTACTGAACACCGTACCCCATTCTGTTTACGTAGAACATGATCACAGGCGCAGCGCGGATGGACGGAGCTATCCTGACTGTGTCAGCTGCTGACGGACCCATGCCACAGACCAGAGAACACATTCTACTGGCCAGACAGGTGAGTGAAAACAGACCCTTTAGTTACTGGAAAGGTAACATTTGCAATTGCAAAGCAAATGCATAATGCGCCAAAAAATAGTTACTCAAGCAACTGGATATGATTTTGAAAACGTCAGACGTTTCAGCTAGTATCCACTAGCTTTCGTCAGTGACTGAGGGGAAAGCAGGTTTATAAGCACAACCTATTGATTGATATGCAAATAAAGTGAAGACAAATTTTTGGAAGTCAAAAAGGAACAAAAGTCAGACAAGTCAAGACAAGATGATGCAAATTAGTCTGAAGCTCCTGTTATACAGAACAGGAGCTTGAGTAACTATTTTTTGGCGTATCGTATTACCTGGATGTCTAACCTTCATCGACGTAAATGCATAATGTTTACTTCGCATGTGGTCTGCTCTGTTAATACTTACATTCAAATACTAAATATATGGTCAGACAGGAGTATAGATCCCTCCTACTGTAAAATTGTAACATTATGTAACCCAACACCAGTTCCCATGGTGACAGACGCCAACAAATCAGGCCATTGACCAGATCAGAGGTTAGTGTTTGGAGAAGAAGAAGAGGAGGAAACGTAACAAAAACAATATGTTTTCCTTCGGTAAACACTAATAATTGCTTAAGACTCCAATATTCGCAGAGGGAAAACACCTTGCTTTTGCTCTGTTTGTTCTTCCTCTTCTTCTTCTTCTCCAAACAAATGAGGTCAATGACCAGAACCAGACGTCTGTCACCATGGTAACTACCACGGTTGGGTTACATCATGTTGCAATTCTATAGCAGGAGGGATTTAGTCTCCTGTCACCATATCTATGAATGTATTTGAGTGAGAATTAACAGAGCAGACCAAATGCGGAGGTAAATATTATGCTGCTTTATGCATTTGCTTTGCAAATGTTGCCTTTCTGATCAATTTAGGTGTAAGCTATAATCAAAATCACCAAAAGTTCATTGAAACAAATAACAAGTTTAATCTTTAATGCAGGTTGGCGTTCCGTACATAGTTGTGTTCATGAACAAATGTGACATGGTGGACGATGAGGAACTACTGGAACTGGTGGAGATGGAAGTTCGGGAACTTCTGAGCAAGTATGACTTCCCTGGAGACGATCTTCCGGTCATAAAAGGATCTGCCCTGGGGGCCCTTAATGTAAGTCAGACAATGGGAAAATCACAGCCTTTGTTCCTACGTTTATGTAATCTCCAAGCAGATCTTTCGATGGCAGCAAAGACAATACCATTGGATACTGTCTGGTCAATGGCTACTGTCTGGCCAATGCGTCCTGCCTGGCCAGTTTGAGACTGTCTTTGCTAGCCTCTACCAGGCTTCGGGAGGCGGCTGAAAAGAGTAGAAATCGGCCAAATAGAGTGATAACATGCCATGGGAGTTTGTCTGCTGGGAGGCAACATTTTGCCGCACCCGGGCCTCCCGAAGCCTGGCCTGGCCATAGAGGCTATGTCTTTGCGGCCACCGAAAGATCTGCTCGGAGATTACGTTTATGTACAATTTCCTTTCCAAGTTATGAAACCAGGTAGTTATCGTAGCCGTTACTGTATGTGCTGCTAATGTATTTCAATTGCATGAAATTGTGCATGTCGTTTAAACTAGCCTCCTTCGCAGTCTTGTTGGGCGTCGGCGTTATTTTTTCTGTGAGCGACGCGAGTAATATGCCGCCGAGAGGGACGATTTGCTGCCGAGGGAGTTTTTACCGTGGAGAGAAGGATTCGCGTTGTTCGCGCTCCGCGGCAAAAACTCCCTTGGCAGCAAATCGTCCCTCTCGGCCGCACATTACTCACGACGCCCAACAAGACTGCGAAGGAGGCTAGTGTTTCACAAGTATCATACACTGGACGGAATTTCGTCCATATATATCTATCCTCTACCGGCATTGCCATTGATACATGGTGTATATGTTCAGACCCTCGGGAGGTACGAATACCATTATGATAGTGCCCTGAAAGCAACATGAATACGTTTGTCTCCATACACTACTATATGGATATCTATACTATAGGGCGAGGAAAAATGGGAGGCCAAGATCGTTGAGCTGGTGGAGGCTCTTGACTCCTACATCCCTGAACCTGAGCGGGCGGTGGACATGCCCTTCCTGATGCCGATAGAGGATGTCTTCTCCATTCAAGGTAAGTTTTTATGTTGAATTCATTATGTGAAACGAGTAAAAGTAATGGCGAATCTGTTACTGACAAGTTGTTTGTATATCAATCATATACACATGTATACCGGACACGAAAAGAGGATTTTGTATGATCTGATTTATTGAATTTGTAATGATACAATACACGTAAGACACAGACAGTTGAAACAAATACAGGGTAAACAATACTAATTTTTATCGTGAGAAACGTCGTGTAAAGTGCCTTTCCCAAGGGCACAAGATCGGTGGCATGTGACCAGGACTCGAACCCGGGACCCCATGGTTCCGAGTCGAGCACTTCACGCGACCCCCGGTGACTGACAAGATGTAGGACAGATATAGATGCCAGACTCTGGAAACAAGGTATTTTGATGTTACAGGTCGCGGTACAGTGGTGACGGGCAGGATTGAACGAGGGATTCTCAACGTTGGAGACGAAGTAGCAATAGTCGGTATCAAAGATACAACTACAACGACGTGCACAGGTTGGTAAAGGAACAATTACATTCACTTGTAACTACAGCCTACAATGGAAAAAAATATGTATATTTTGTGCTATCGAGTTGCATGGGTTCGACTCAGAATAATATTTAGATCCAAACATATATGGCAATATGGCAGCAAGGCAGTCAGGAAACTATAGATATTGCCGTTTTTCTTTTTCGCTTTATCTTCTCAAACCATTCCCTAATTAGCTTATTTCTCCGAATTTTCTCACATTTTGGATAAACATTAAAAACGTTATATTGTATACCATGTAATGAGTTTCGATATTTTGAGAGTGCTGACACGGCACTGAGGTTGTTCCACTAACAGTCTTCTAAATGTCGTCCTTGTCGACGTCACCGAAGATACATGTCACATTGTTCTGCTTACTTATTAAGGCCCCATTCCCACTAGGTTGAAATTGTCCGGATCGAGCCGAATTGATTCGCTTTGATCCGGCTTCCATCCGGCTTGATCCAGAATCGAAGCCGGATCAAAGCGAATCAATTCGACTCGATCCGGACAATTTTATCCTAGTGGGAATGGGGCCTATTAAAGTGAACTTAATTATTGTTTGCAGGTGTTGAAATGTTCCGGAAACTGTTGGACGAAGGCAGGGCCGGTGAAAATGTCGGTGCCCTGCTGAGAGGCACGAAGAGGGACGAGGTGGAAAGAGGCCAGGTGCTGGCCAAGCCTGGCAGCATCACTCCTCACACCAAGTTCGAAGCTGAGGTTGGTTTCATTTCGTTTATTTATCTAATGGCATCCAGTGCAGTTTTAGGGTTTGGAAACCCAAGTTTTCAAAACCAATATTCTAGTCATTTATCTACATACTGAGTTGAAACCGGTACATCATCCTAATGTATATTGACCCCCATGGAGCAAAAATTACCAAAATTCTGACAGAAAATGGTTACTGGAAGGGTCCTTGGCTGATTTTTAGGGTACCTGTGTTCTGTGTTGGTAGTTACATGTTTAAAGTTAAAACCTTTGATCAAAAGTTTGGATCAAAGGTTTTAAGGATGATGTCTTGAATCTCTGTTGTTGTCTGTGTACTTGCAGGTGTATGTCTTGAGTAAAGATGAAGGCGGTCGCCATACGCCATTTTTCAAGGGCTATCGACCACAGTTCTATTTCCGGACGACGGACATAACAGGAGACATTGAGCTTCCCGAAGGAGTGGTGAGTTGTACAAACATAAGCTACCATATCCACATCTCAGCAAATGACATTTCGCCTTAGCCTCCACCAGGCTTCTAGCCTGGTATCCAGTCTGATTCGTGGTCGGGACCGCAAGAGCTCTGGTCCGCCCGCCTCACATAAGCTTCCCGGTGTGTATTTCACGAGAGATTAATTAGCCCTCGTGTTGGGGGGAAACCAAATCCCCGAGCATACTGTCTCTGATTAGAGTAACACTCCTACCGGGACGGTCTGTTGCACTAGGCGGGGGAAGCTCTTAGAGGCCCCGAAGACACAACCTGCCTAAACACCCCAATACCCCCAATCACGATCAGACTGGATACCAGGCTTCAGGAGGCGGCTGGAAAGAGTAGAAATCGGCCAAATAGGGAGATGACATGCTGAGGGAGTTGGTTCGCGCGCAGAGAACAGTTCTCTAAGCGCGGACCAGTTCCTTCAGCATATTATCTCTCTATTTGGCCGATTTCTACTCTTTCTAGCCACCTCCCGAAGCCTGGTAGAGGCTAGCCTCCTGTGCAGGCCCCGCGGCGGTGGGGAATGGAGTTTTTAACGCGTTATTTTAATATAGCCGGCCATTCTACATAGCCGCCGAGAGAAGGTTGCTTTCCGCCTACGGGAAAGCACAGGCTAGTACATAGCGACTATTACGACAAGCCGGCACAAGCTGGTCTTTTGCGGCATTCATTCATTTATTCATTTATTTATTAATTTATGATTCGGTACTAAACTCATTGCGCGGAAGGATGTTATACATGAAATCATATCAGTGTGTTGATGTTTGTTTACTCTTCTTGTTTCCCACAGGAAATGGTGATGCCGGGTGACAACATCAAGATAACAGTAGAGCTGATCGCTCCCATTGCCATGGACGAGGGCCTGCGGTTTGCCATGCGCGAAGGCGGACGAACAGTCGGTGCCGGGGTGGTCTCTAAAATATTTGATTAGAAGGCAAGTTTCAGTTTCAGTTTATTTCGTTACAAAATGTAACAATACAAATACAAGAAAATATAAATGAAATGTAACAGTGCAGGGAGGTCGAAAGCATAAAATGCTTATGCCTCCCTTCATAACGTGATTAACAATTCAAATAAATCGGATAAATAAGAAATAACTACGGTAACGGGTAAATGAAACAAAACAATAAAATACAATACGATACAATACTATCTACAATAATGAAAAGTAGTAATGAAAGTAGTAAACAAGGAAACATAAACAAAAATTAGAAATTTGTGGGGTTATTTATGAAAGCTACTTTTAGTATGATTTTTGAAAATGGTGAAGGAGGGACTAATTTGTAAAGTTCTACTTAGGTTGTTCCAAATTGTTGGGCCCCCGTACGTGATTTTAAATTGACGTAGCAAGGTAATTTTATAGCTAAGATATCAAACTTCACCATAACTTCTGTTCCTTTTCTGTGTCTGTTGTTTATTTGCTTCATATACACATGTACAAGGATGTTCTTTACAGAGTGAATAAGTTTATCTGTTTGTTGAATGTGTTGAATCCTTAATATGCCCCTCTGTTTCGCTTATAAATAGCTAAAAAATAACAGTAGACGCCATTTAACTACACAACGGTTAATTGTAAATGTTATTTTTGAGCCATTTGTAAGCGAAACAGATGGACATATTTAGTATTGAAAACATTCAACAAACAGATAAACTTATTCACGAAAAAGAATATGTACTTAGACATGTCACTTAAAATATAAAGATAATGCGTGCATTTAAAAAATTAATGTGATAGTAAGAATACAAAGATAAAGTGCTGTTATTCCTTACATCAGTTTTTATTGGAATGAAAGCTCATCTGTGTTGGTAGAATCCATAGTTATAGAGTTCAAGCTTTGTTCCAACACAAGAAGGGAACTCACCATAAAATTTTGGTCGATCTCGTCAACCTTCGTCAGATGACTCTCAGGAAGTCAGTTTTTATTATAATAACTTCATTTCTGTTGTTCTAATTTTTCAGGACTAAGGGGTAAACAGAGGACTTCCTCCGGCCGGTAGCTGCCTCGACTACCAGCTGTTTTGATCCCAGAGACTAGTAGTAAAGTGGAGTGCTGCCAAAGACTTCATACGAATTTTACGAAATTCATACGAATGTTACGGAATTCAGACGAATTTTACGGAACCCAAACGAATTTTAAGTATATACGATTCGTTTCAAGGAAATATATGAATTTTACAAAATATGCGCGATCCATTACAAGGGAACATACGAATTTTACAGAATACATACGATCCATTACTCGAAAACGCACGATCCTTACAAATTTGGTAATCCAGGCGCAGTCACGAAATTAGTAAGGATCGTATGTTTCCGAGTCGCATGTATTCCGTAAAATTCGAATGTTTCTGGTAATGAATCGTACGTAGTTCGAAAAAATTCGTATGAATTCTTTGGCACACCTGAAGTAGGGTGGCGGGTTAGTGCTGGGTCATGGATGCTTCCTATAAAGATACCAGTTGTGCCATGAGCTTGTTCTTTACTACTGTATCATCACCGTAAGTCAAGTTTTTGCTGAAAGCTTTATTGTTCCTGGATATAATGAATGAACTTTATTGCTGGAAGATTGTACATGTATGACAGTAAATGAACAATGCTACAAGGCTAATCTTTTCTACTATTTTAACTACAAAATATTACAGTATACGACTTACAATATAGTCATGAATGGATGTATACAGAATGGTACAGTGTGTCATATTACTGACAATAGCATGTACTAATCAAACGGTTTCTGTGGTTTCTATTATTGATTAAAACAAATAATCATTAAACAGTTGTGTCATGTCTTGTATATTATGAATTAATATTATTTGTATTTTTGCTCTTAAGTACAAGTACAAATTTAGACAGTCAAAAGGGGGTCATGTATTGAAACTATAAAGCAAAACTCAGCGAATATTTGTTACCTTTTTTCATTCATTCACACAGCGCGGTAAGACAATATTGTACATTATGGCTATCCCCGCTTACCGGATGCATTTTGCATATTTAATCTACTCAATAGAAGTCAGGAAAATCATCGGGGAGCCAAAAACAGCTGCAGCTTAGATCGTCTTTTGTGTTTACAAAACATTTGCGCATCGTCATCCTTTATACATACCAGCTGTCGTTGTTGGCCTTCAGGTTAAAACAAACGGAAATATAGAAGAATTAAGTCCTTAGACAAACAGTAATTTCAAAGGCAGCTGCAGATCAGGTAGTATTATCTGCTTTGGGCTACATAATATCGCCCTTTTAAAGTGTATTCATATGTCAACTTTCACCTGCCCTTGTGTGCTTGGCATGGTTATGAAGATTATGAATAAGTCTCTACGATTGTACAATCGTGACAAGTGTGAAGCCATGCTTTCAAATTCGGCCTTGAAAATGTGTACTTAGGTCCAACTGTTCCACCATGCCTTCCATGTATGTGGAGAATTGCAATAAATAAATTAATTTATACAGCATTATCGGCTTAATACGACTCTCGGACAACATGAAAGGTCTCAATGCCATTAAGGCCAGATATTACGAACACAACAGCCCCTTTGCTATAAATGTGTAGCTCTCAGCTTGGCTCAGAAGAGATCGGGGGTTTCAGACGAACAGATCTAGAGAATATCGCTACATAACCCACCCACCAGTCACTTTGGTCGCCAACGACTGATCAGGAGAATCCGGTGAACATGTTCAACAACAGCTCGAACCCTCTACGGTTCAACAACATGTCGGACCCTCTGCTGTACAACAACAGCTCGGACCCTCTGCTGTTCAACAACATCTCGGACCCTCTGCTGTTCAACAACATCTCGGACCCTCTGCTGTTCAACAACAGCTCGGACCCTCTGCTGTTCAACAACAGCTCGGACCCTCTGCTGTACAACAACAGCTCGGACCCTCTGCTGTTCAACAACAGCTCGGACCCTCTGCTGTTCAACAACAGCTCGGACCCTCTGCTGTTCAACAACAGCTCGGACCCTCTGCTGTACAACAGCAGCTCGGACCCTCTGCTGTACAACAACAGCTCGGACCCTCTGCTGTTCAACAACAGCTCGGACCCTCTGCTGTTCAACAACATCTCGGACCCTCTACGATTTGAAAGCATGCTTCAGTGTTACTATTGGCACCTCCGCCATACAAATATGTCCTACCATCAGGCCAGTGAGGCTTGTCCCATATACGACGACGTGTTAGGTAGTAAAGGGTGGTCTGTGTACATGCTTTCAGTCATGGGTATCTTGATCATATTAGCCAATGTTACGGTGCTTTTCGGCATCATCGGAACACGGAAGCTCCACAAGGCCTTGTATCTGTACATCGCAAATCTCGCTACATCAGATCTTTTGCCTGGGGTTCTCCTTATTTCTTTAGCTTTCGGGCAGTTGGGTCAGTACGGAGTGCTTGCTGTGTTACACTTTACTACTTGCATGCTGTTTACCCAGATCATGTCAGCATCAGCTCTATCTTTGTTATCTATAGATTGTTACATAGCTGTGAGGCACCCTATTTTCTTCCACAACAACGCTCCTAAGGCCAAGCGGAATGCTTGTGTAGCAATCATAAGTTCATGGATCGTTCTATCATTGTGTGTGTTTTCATCTTCTATGGGCTGGAATTGTGTTTACGGTCGCTCTATCGCCGTAGAATACTGCGTTGCCGTATTTCCTGTTGGCTATGCCATTGTTGTAGCTTCCGTAATCGTATTCACATGTTTCGTCTTGATGTTCACAAACATCAGCGTTTTCGTGCGCATCAAACGACGCCAAAAGACTGGACCTCGCCAGTTTCGAGGAGGTGGAACAAGATCTAGATGGGCTGAAGCTAAAGAGAACCAGAACAGGGCTGGAGGAAGCGAAGGCCACGGTGCACAGGAGGAAGCTCAGCGGAAATTGAACTCCAGTGCTAGGAAGGCAAGAACTGTGATGATCCTTGTAACGTTGGCGTTCGTCTTCTGGCTGCTGGGTTTTGCAGCTCTTCTGTTTGCCCGACTGTGCCTCCGTTACAGACACGTATGCTCAATGGAGACTTTTTCGAATTGGGTGCCTGTAATGATGGTGTTAAACTCGGCGCTCAACCCATTGGCAAACATAATTCGCATGGCCGACTTGAGAAATGCAATCTGGCAACAATTCACTGGTCCTTACCGTGGATTCTTGATCTGTTTGAGGAGATTTAGCCGGGAACAAACAGAACAGGAACAGCAGAATGGACCAGGCCATTAAATTACTGGAGTGACTGTAACGGTTTGTTGTATAATTAAAGTTTATATGTGTTATACAGGAATGTGTCACTATTTACTGTGTAATTTTGAATAGGCTACATGGTATGTTGATGACCCGCCTAATTCTTCGTGCACAAAATACATGGTGTGATAAAGCCTTAACCTTGTTCGCTACGCTCACTCGGTGGTTTAATTCGGTACTGACAAGGCTTTATCATACCATATACATCCCGGGGCGGGTCCTTAGCCCTTAATTAATGAAGGTGGCAGTGATTTTAGACCCATAATCACACATATGTATATATATACATAACACACGGCATAAAAAGTTCTATTTTTACTGACTACCGTCCGGTCACCCTAAATATTATTAGGTCGACCATAGTGTCATTGTACGCGTAAGCTACAAAGGGCCTGTCTAAAACCGAAAGATATCATTTGTACATCAAATACATAGCGGTAATACCTTCACATAATCTATGCTGACAAAAACTAAATTGCCACATTGTTTATTGTAACGCAAACACATTTATAACCGATATAGTTGCAATATTGTGGCGACTAGCCCCTCCCAACTTAGCCGTGGACGACTCTGTAACCCTTTTTGCATGATAATGCCGGGTACCCGGCATTATCATGCAAAAAGGGTTACACTTACAGAGTCGTCCACGGCTACTCCCAACTGTATCTGTCTTGCTACATAATGCACACGTAACTACCATGGTGACAGCACTAATTACCATGGTGACAACTGTTCGGAACACCTGTAGCCCAGGTATGACATAACATATTTTATCGCTTCAACTTTTATGGTCCCTATTTTAACCCTAAGTGTTTGAAGAAGAAGACGGGTTACGTTGCTACTTCCGGGTTAGTTTGTTGGAAGAGTCCATTGCAGTATAGGGTCGACAAATTCGACTAAAGCTCTACCAAAACGTTTGAAAACTACCCACGCTAAATTATACTAATCTTAAATTTATATTCTAATACTAAATATACATCAAAATACCTAGATATTGAAATATAGATAAGATGTAATATTCTACTCTTATATAGAAAATAGACGTTGTTTCTCCCTACCAAGAATTGTGTGATGGTCCATCATGCAGCTGATGAACTTTGACCGAAAGTAGCGTATACAGAATCGTGAGACATTTTCTGTTGTTGTTTGTCACGTCTAGCATCTGTTATATCTGCCTTTGCTGTTGAAGATGTCATGTTGAAGGGTTAAGCATTGACTAAGCGATCTTTTGGTTGACTTTAATCGCCTGACAAAAGTTTCAAAACAGTCGAGCTAAAGCATTGGTTAAAGACAACGTTTTGGTAAAGTATGATACAATGTAGATCAGTAGAAACCTGTATTAGTGTATATAGCCTTGAAGTTATTAAGACAAAGAGGTTAAATCTACATTATAAACCTCCTTGGTGCAGCAAAATCTGAACAAAATAATATCACCGTAAATTACGATAGGATGATTTTTTTTTATACCGAAACTGTATCATGATAAGCGTTGAGTGTGAGTGCAGATAATTTTTGAGTAGTGATGATTCTGTATATTGTACAGTTCTCAGCATGTCGGTGGTAGCAAAGAATCGCAGGGCAACTCTAGAGCGTGTGGAGAAGTTTATATCCAACATTTACTTCACTGATGTCAACCTCAGAGGGAGGTGAGTTTGTATTACCATAGAAAATGCAAAATTTTATATTTGTAGTCATTATCTATTGACTTTCACAAAATAGAAGTTACATTGTATCTATAAATGGAAATTATAGAATCTGATCTATAAAAGAGAGAATCTATAGAAATCTATATAACATCTATTACTATTAATAGAAAGTATCTAGAAATATGATAAAAAATATTCTCTGCAGCTTGCCCAGAGCAATTCCTGCCTATTAAATTACTTCCAGAGCATTTACTAGTAAGCTTCTGTAATGTTGTGTATTTTATGTAGCAAGTGGCAGGACAGAGTTGAAGGGGCTGGTTGGTTGGGCTTTGCAAATGTTACTATTCTACATGTAGTTGAACTTGTGATTTGAATATGTCACCTTCATGCTTTTGCCTAGACTTTACCCCAAGAAGGCCCCGGTGACGTCCCTCCATCACCACTGTACAGCTGAAAGGATCAGATATGACCAGGCTGTCAGCAGGGAGTTCAAACCCACACAGGTCGGACACAACTTTGGGAAAACGTAAGCATTGTTATTATTTGCTCTATTTCCTTTTTTGTTTGTTTTGGAACTGTTAGTGTATTCAACTTGTTATGTTTACCTTTGCAGAAGGAATACATATTGTTTATGCTCAGTTTCTTCCTCTTCTTCTTCTCAAAACAAATAATGTCAATGACCTCGACCAGAGGTCTGTCACCATGGTAACTGGTGCTGTAGCAGACACTCTGTGGTCTTGGGGTACATTATGTAGCAGACGAGAGTTGGAGAGGCTGGTGTCACCTTAACATAAGTACAGGAATGTGTTTGAGTAAAAATAAACAGAGCAGTATAGTAGTTTGTTGCATTAGGCTAGACCATGAGAAGGTATGCATTTGCTTTGCAAATGTTATCTTTCTAGTTTATTGTTTCAATAAGTTACTAGTACCAGTTTTACTGTTTACATCTGCTTCAGTACTATATATGTCAAATTTACTTATTTTAGCTGGAGCACACACTGGTTCAAGGTCACACTGGACATCCCTGAGCACTGGGAGGGGTCAGAGGTCAGGTTCATCTGGGATTCCGGGTCAGAGGCCATGGTAAGTGGGGTCAAAGTTCACAGTTAGTGCCATAATATATACAATTGTAATTGTCTATATAGGCAGTTTAACATTTCAATTCCTTCCCGTTTTTACTTCAACAATACAAAATGTTACATTAGACAACAGTTACTAGTAGTGGCAAAAGAAATGTTAACTTTTATTATAATGCTAAATGGAGGATAGGAAATGTATTTCTGAAGTCCTTGACGATTGTTGCTAGGTGTGGCAGGACGGAGAACCTATCCAGGGTCTGTCTGGTGACACATACTCCAGGACTGATGTCATACTGACGAAAAGACTGGACAAGACACAACCTCACCAGTAAGTGTTTTGAAGAATGAAAGTTCTTGCCCGTAGGCTAATTGCAAGTACATGTAACATGAAAATAAAGGATGGACAATGGATAACAATATAATATGTGACTACTCTTAACTATTCGTACTAAATTCTAACTTATTGGGTTTGACTTCTTTTTCCGAGACAGTGGAAGATGAATAATCCCACTTTTTCTATAATGTGTGGGTTTTGTGATGTTAAGAGTAGAGTACATGTAGTAGCTTTCTTTTTGTCTATAAACATGAAAAGGAAAGAGTTAGTGATGAAAAGTGCCAAGATCAAACACTCAGCTTCACATGTCTTCATATGTACCAAGGACCAGCAGGCTGTGGAACTCCTTACCAGCCTCGGTCTTCCCTGACTGTCCCAATATGACTAAGTTCAAGACTACAGTAAACAGATTCTTGTTGAATTCCTCTTACAATTATGTACCATGCAATTATGTATTATGTATAATGTATTTGATAAGGGTATGTATGTATAATTAAGCGAGGGGAATTGACATATTGAACCGAAGATCATCGTTATACGATGTTAAGATCAGGTTCACTCTGCACTGATTAAAAAAAAAATGATTGCAACATGTTCTCTCCCCTGCCAGTATAACCCTGTATGTAGAGATGGCAGCTAACGGCATGTTTGGAGCAGGCCAGGGCACCATGATCAGTGCTCCTGACCCCAACAGGACCTTCACCCTGTCCCGCGCTGAGTTAGCTGTGTTAGACAGGGACGTCTACAACCTACTCATGGACTTTGAAGTCATCATCGACATGGCAAAGGTAGGCATAAAGTCAAGGAAGACTACTAGAGCTACAAAAAGGGTGAGCTAAAACCTTACCAAAGAATGCTTAATAGGATTCAAATTCTGTTTTGAAAGAATGCTGTTTTAGCAATAGCAGGGATCAAAATATACCTGCACTGGGCTTTTATACAGACTTAATTATGTTAACCTTCGGAGATAAGAATGTACGTAGTGAAGTAAGTACCTTCGCAGAAGGAAAGCATATTGTTTTTAAATTGTTCTGTTTCTTCTTCCTCTTTTTCTTCTCTAAACAAATAAGGTCAATGGCCTGAACCAGACGTCTGTATGATGGTAACTAGTGTTGGGTAACATCATGTTGCAATTTTATAGCAGGAGCGATTTTGACTCCTGTCTGGCCATATATAAGAATGTGTTTGAGTAAGAATTAACAGAGCAGACCATATGTGAAGGTAAACATTATACATTTGCTTTGCAATTGAAATGTTCTAGTTCCTGTTGTCTTCCTGATGATAGTTTATCTCATTTTAACTTTTTTGGTAGCACATCTCAGAAGAGAACCAGCGTAGTTACCAGGCCCTGTACACAGCCAACCAGATGGTGAACGTGTGTGACGTCAGGGACAAGTCTACGTACGCACAGGCCAGAGAGATCGCTCGTAACTTCCTGTCACAGCGGAATGGTGACTCCCAACATGTCATACACGCCATGGGACACTGCCATATTGACTCTGGTGAGGGGGTTGTCTGTTATTCCTATACATTTTAATCCTCAGGTGAATATCAAATTTAAAACCTTTCGTTTTACATGAGCCAACGTTTCCCTGACCATCTGTCATCTGTCGCCTTCATCAGGGCTTAATAATAATGACTGTTTTACTGTGGACTGGAGCTAGGCGTTACATGGTTCACAGTGCACTGAAACTAGATGTTAATTTAACACTGCAGTCCCAAGCGTAAGTATGTGATATACAAGCTAGCTTCAGTGCACTATGAACTATGTTACACCTAGCTCCAGTGCACCAGTCATTACAGCCATGATGAAGGTGACAGACGGTCACCAAAATGTTTGGTCATGTAAAGTGAATGGTGGTGAATAAAAGAGCTTTTAATTAATATTTAATCATTTACGAACCTGATGAAATTATTTACGGATATTCTTCCACACTTTGCAGATACTTTTAGTACATCTTAAATAGATTTTAAACCATTTTCTACAAAGACTATGATCTGCTTTCAATTTGAAATTTTGACTTTAAGTCCAACACAAGAGATGTAGATTACACAGGTAATTGATGCAGTGCCTAGTTTGCTATCACCATGTACAAAAAATGTACCTAGCATGTATGTCTATATGACTTGTTTTCCCATGATGCAGCGTGGCTGTGGCCTTATGCTGAGACCATCAGGAAATGTGGTAGGAGCTGGGCGTCGACCATCAGGCTCATGGAGGAATACCCACAATTCACCTTCACATGCTCTCAGGTAATTTTTCAGTCACATTCAATGACATCTTTTAATACATCCAAAGTTTTTCTATAAGGTGACATCTGCAAAGCAATTATGCATAATGTTTACCTTTGCATATGGTCTGCTCTGTTAATTCTTAGTCTGACACATTCATAAATAAGGTGACAGGAGTCTAGATCCTTCTTACTATAAAATTGCAACATTATGAAAACCAACACCAGTTACCATGGTGACAGACATCTGGTTCAGGTCATTGACCTTTTGGTTTGGAGAAGAAGAGGAAGAAACAGCAAAAGCAATATGATCTTGAAGTCTTTGATGTAGTGTTACAATTGAGTGAGGCTAATCCTGTGTTTGACTGTTTTTTTTATAGGCTCAGCAGTTTGCCTGGGTGAAGCAACATTACCCCACCTTATACCAGAAGATACAGGCTCGGGTAGCAGAGGGACAGTTTATTCCAGTAGGAGGAACATGGGTGGAGATGGTGAGTCCTTCCTGCACCCATCTCTGTTTCAGTTTCCCTTGGGTCACACAACTTGCAATCACTACAACAGGTTGTGGTGTGTTTTCAACTGCCATGGTCTTTCATGATGCAAAGCAGAGAAATCAGTACCAGTATGTACTTCATTCAAGTCTTTGCTATGACTTGGCTGGTGATTTAACTCTACAGAATAGTACATAAGGCAAACGCTCTACTCACTTGGCTATTGGACTGGTCTGAGTCAGTCATATCATAAATTGTGTGTTTTGCTAATTTCCTTATCATAGGCATAGTTGTTATGTTAAGTTGTTTTGTTGTTTTATTCTTATTTACAGGATGGAAACATTCCCAGTGGAGAGTCATTTGTTAGACAGTTCTTGTTTGGTCAGAAGTTCTTCAAGAAGGAGTTTGGGGCCTACTGTAAGGAGGTGAGTCACTGTGGTTACCATGTACATGTATATTGTAAGTTTCAGAAATGCAAGACTCCTAAACAAATAATGATCGGGGTATGATACTATCTGGCAGAAGTATTGTTTTGATTGCCTCAGCTGTGGGTTCGTGTGTTTGTTTGTCAAGACAGGCTAGGTTGATAGCAAGTGGATTGGGAAGGATTGACTGGTAAATGACAGGAATGTCAAAAGGTCAGACACAGGAAATTGGGTGAACTTGAAGGTCCAGAAAACCCAGAATACTTCCAGGGGGTCTGAAATTTCTGATTTTTTTTATTGCAGTGATACTATAAAAAGGTGGTAGATGTATATAGCCTCTACCATGCTTGGGGAGACAGCTGGAAAGAATAGAAATCGGCCAAATAGAGAGATAAGCATGCCAAGGGAGTTTGTCCGTTGAGAGAACATTTCGCCGCACCCAGTGGCCAGTTTCTACTCTTTCCAGCCGCCCCCCCCCAAGCCTGGTAGAGGCTATTAGTAGATGTATATGGATTATTGTTAATGCTATCTACATTTGTACATGTAAGACAATATGTGAGTGAAAATGTTTTTTTCACAACTTTTCCAGTTCTGGTTGCCTGACACATTTGGGTACAGTGCCCAGCTGCCCCAGATCATGGCAGGAGCCGGGATTTACCGCTTCCTCACACAGAAACTCAGCTGGAGCCTCGTCAACAAGTTTCCTGTAAGCTTCATATTTCTATCTGTTGTTTTCTTTTTCTTTGAAAACAAGACAGTGTAAAATCTTGAGGACTTTGTCTATCCATTTTGTTAATATTAGACTAGAGAATATTGCTGATTCTTAAGTTTTTGTTGTCAACTTCTCACCTTTTTTGCCAAAACAGTGGGACTTTCTTTGAAGGCAATTTCATGGCAGCAGAACTGGATTTCAAAAGTCACTTTTTGTTCATTCCTTTATTAATGTAGTTTATGTATGTTGAATAAAGCCTATCCCATATCATGCAGATATCTGTGACTGAGGTAAAAGTATGATATCACTGATGGAAAAGGATTGCGTGTTTCGTATCATAGGCTGGTTCGAGTTATTAATTGGTGGTACCAAAAAATAAAGGGACTCCACACATGGCTTGATTTGGGGCTATTTCAAACACTTCAAGTATGAAATGATAAAAACTGAAAAATGGCAGAAATGACAGTAAACGTCAATATCAGACAGATTTTCTTATCGTTTTTGTTTTGTTTTGTTTTGCCGCCCTAATATTGCACTGAATGCCTTTAAAGAACAAATGCAGTAATTTCAGTTTAGGTGCCTTTTAATGGCCAGTTAATTAGATTAATAGGACCCTTGACGTCACCGCAGCCTCCTGGTGGAATAGGCAGTCATCAAACGTGAACAATCATGGATTTGGGTCAAATATCACCCCTATGTGTGCGGGACTTGTAGAAACCAATGGATCACCTTTTGCAAATAGGATTTTGGGTTAATAGACACCAAAATTGAAATTACTGTATTTGTCCTTCAACTAACCAGCACCACAGTTTCCGTTGGGTGGGGCTGGATGGTACTGGTGTCTTGTCACACTTTCCACCTGGTGATTCTTACCACCTGGAGGGGAAGGTGGAGGATGTAAGTCTTAAAATCACCTGTCTGAAACAGCTGGTCACAGGCAGGTGGCAGAAGAGGAAGCTGTCTGGTGCTCAAGTGCAGTGGGACCAGTTTTATTGTGGTTTAGGCCATACCAATTTAAGCAGTTTTCTGATCCATTTTTTCTGATTCTCAAAAAAAAAAAAAAAAAAATTCAGGTTTTCTGGATCAAATCCAAAATGCTCATATTTTGGCCCCAACAGTTGAAGAAAGTCCTTTTCTTCCCAGTTGTTAGACTTTGTTGATTCATTTTTTTTTCTTCAAGAAAGTCCTTGTTGTCCTAGCTTTTACAGTGTTTCCATGTATCAATGCAGTGGTTTGATTCAAAGTTTTTAATTCATTTTTTTTATTTCAAACCGGCCTTGTATGTTGACATCCTAGCTCCTATTGTAGCATTTGGGCTATCACAATATGCCTAGGCCTGTTTTTTTCCCCTGACAAAACACCCCCAAATTCTAAAAAAAAATATCAAATTGGTGGGGTTTATGATGAAAAAAAAACAAACTTTTGTTGCTTTGTCTCTTGACTAACCAGCACCATACGTTTCGGTGGGTGGGACTTGACGGTACGGCTGTCCTCTCTCACTTCCCACCTGGGGACTCTTACGAAACGGAGGTGAAGGTTGAAGATGTAAGTCTGTAACTCACCTGTAACACACCTGGTTTTAGACTGGAGTGGGGTGTCTGTTTTTGGTGGAAGTGGTCTGGGACCAACTTTCCTGTACCAAGAATTAAACAAAAAACCCATTGGTTAAACTAGAAAGGTAACATTTACAATTTGAAAGCAAATGCATAATGTTTACCTTCGCATATATTCTTACTACACATTAATGGTGACAGGAGTCTAAATTTCTCCTGCTATAAAATTGCAACATGATGTAACCCAACACTAGTTACCGTGGTTGCAGCTGGCTGGTTTAGGTCATTGACCTTTTGTGTTTGAGGAAGAGGAAACTGAGCAAAAACAAGAGAAACAGACTCGAAAAGGTATATCTATCATATGTTACAGATATACATGACTGTGTAGGTCCTAATTTTTCTGCATTTGCTGACAAATTGAATAGGAAAAAGCCATGTTCATCTTTTTAAACTTCTGCTTGATAGTCTAGTCTTTTTTAAAAACTTTTCCATTGAAAGTTGGAACAATGACCATTGCACTTTCAGCACCAAGGACAGCAACTCTTCCTCCACCAGTCTAAACCAGTTCTGTAATACATAAGTCCCCCTTTCCACTAGATGGCAATGCTGAGTGACCATACAGGGACCAAAATTGGGTTCTCTGACCCATGATTTAATAAATCATGACAATTGATTCAAGATGTAACTACTAAAGGTAACATTTGCAAAGCAAATGCATAATGTTTACCTTCGCATATGGTCTGCTCTGTTAATTCTTGCTCAAACACATTCACATGTATGGTGACAGGAGTCTAAATCCCTCCTACTATAAAATTGCAACATTATGTAACCCAAGATTAGTTACCATGGTGAGAGACAGTCTGGTTAAGGTCATTGACCAGGTCATGAGGTCAGTGTTTGGAACGGAAACAGAGCAAAAACAATATGCTTCCCTCAGTAGACATAAAAATTATGCTTTAAAAGACAACAAAACACACAAATTGTAAGAAAATTTTTTCTTTATCTGTGAAATTTGTGGAGCTATCGAGCAAATCTTTGGTCACTCAGTGTTTGCAGAAACTAGTGGAAAGGGGATGTAATATAACCAATAGCTAACGAATGCTTGTGTCATTAGCACCACATGTTTTACTGGGAAGGTTTGGACGGTAGCCGATGCCTGGCACACTTCCCACCAGCTGACAGCTATGGCACTGAGGCTAAAACTCAGGACGTGAGAAACCTATATATAAATTTCTCCATGTTTGCTGCATGTTTTCTGTTTTGAAATATTGGTAAAGTCTCAGAAATTATGCATAAAAAGATACATGTGTACATTTTGTAGGTGTTATTTTTGTCTTTTTTGTTGCATTTCTAAACAGCTGCATGGAAACCAAGCATATTTTATGGTAGAAAATATGAAAGAACTATTCTTCACATTTTTATAAATTTATAATGTTTATGGGTTAAAATTGTTCGTCCGTTGTTCTTGACTATGACCAATGACATCCCATTTTGTGTGTCCAGATTTAAAAAAGCAAGCACTTCATGTCCTATTATTTTCAAAACTTCATATAATTATGATGATATAATCATGATTATAATATATTTCATAAATTTATTGCTCCGCAGCTTCTGAAGACAGTGAAGAACCACAAAGACAAAGGCAGAGTGAACAACAGTGTGCTGCTGTATGGACATGGAGATGGAGGGGGAGGGCCTACGTAAGTCAACACAATAAAACATAAACACAGGACAACAGGCCAACACAACCTTATAAACACTTGCAGTCATATCAGAGGACAGTGACAGAGAGATTTACTTTCATGTAGTCTTTTATCTAAAAGCTGGCAAAAACGTGAATGAGACAATCGTTTTATAAAAACTACTGCCACAGTAGTACATTCCGCCAACTGTCACTCACTTGGAACTTTGTGCTTTTAGTTTAACGTGATTATTCCATGGTTGATTTTTTTTTAATAGGGAGGACATGTTGGAGAGACTGAAAAGGCTAACAGATGTAGACGGACTACCAAGGTCAGTTCTCTTCAGTTTCGGTCAAGAATGGAAGGGGTGTTAACTCTGACTTCCGGTTGTACTAGTATTAAGCGCATCGGCAGAACGTACAGTACTTTATGTCCTACCTGGTCTGCAATTACGTTCGATACGGGTGTTCCGGCCCGTGTGATAACGCGTACGGCCCGGCCCTTCCAAATGTTCCATAGAACGATTCGAACATGTTTCACTCTAACCGCGTGCAATGCTTTCGAAAATTCGGATGCAAAATTCGGACGTTGGAATTGATGTTGTTGCATTTGTTGGGTTTAGGGACACCAAATTTTTGCTCATTTCGCATTGAAAGCTGTGTTTTCGTGGGTGGTATGACATAAATAAAATACAACACGGTGTATTCCGCATCACCCTCGGTCCCAGCCCTCCCGCGGATCGGATCTCCCTCTGGCCTTCGGCCGTCGTGCGATCTGACGTGCGGTCGGGCTGGTACCTCGGGCAATACGTAATACCCCGTGCTGTATTCTATATGCGCAAAACCCTAACGTATTGTCTATACATGTAGCACTTTGGCAGAACGTCTCAGGGTTTCACCCAGGTCTGCCAACATGCTCTTGTATTACATGTTCGAGTAGTACTCTGAAGTCCATCTGTTTTCTATAATGTATTCTGTTGTTTTCCACCACTGCTTAGAGTTGCGATGTCAAGTCCAGACAAGTTCTTCAGCAAAGTTGAGCAGGAGGAGAGCAGTAACCTGTGTACCTGGGTTGGGGAGTTATATCTGGAACTGCACCAAGGAACCTTCACTACACAAGCACAGGTGATATAGACCAGAGTCTAGTCTTGTTAGAATATGAAGAATTGACCTAATACACATGACAAAACAGTTCATCTAGAGAAGCTTTCACAACATCTTCCATCTTCTATTAGCTCATGATGACAAGGTCATGAGATCTAAGTTTTAAAGGTCACACAGGTCACATGACTGGAGGAGGGTGCTGTAGATGGGGGTAGTTGGTGGCGGCCTTGGTCACGGTTTAAGGATGGGGAGAGGACTCTTATATGTACTGCAAATTGTTTTATGTTTGATTGTTGTGTTTCAGATCAAGAAGGGGAACAGACAGTGTGAATTCTTGTTCCATAATATAGAACTGATGGCAACACTGGCCTGGGTAGCAACCAGGGGCAAGGACACAAACAGGTGAATCCATAATTATCCATGAAATATGATATGGTAAATTATCAATTAATTATCATATTATTTTAAGTACATGGCTGAGTACGAGTGTTTGCCTTGCATTTGATAGGTTGTGAGTTTAATCCCGGCTGAGTCATACCAATTTGAAAGACTTTCTCTGCTTAGCACTAAGCATTTGAGAAGAGTATGGGAGTTAAACACACAACACTACCAGTGGACTTAACAACAGTAACAGTGGCTCCCTGCTGTAGTGATTGCACAATGTTGTCTGGCCCAAGGGTTGGTAAAACAAAGATGGGTGCCGCCCCATGCACCACCTAGTGCGGAAACCACTTCGACTATACCGGTAGTGCTGTGTACCTGTTTGCTGGACTGGTTCCAGACTTGTAAAGATGTTCATGTTCAAGTAAAAAAAAAAAACAATTCTGGACATGTCACATAGTGTACCCCTTTTTTTCCAAACCACCTAAAACCCTCCATAGTTTGCAAAATCTGTGCTGCAAAATGAAGAAAACATTGCCATCGGGCAACGTCAAGTAAGGTTCCCAACATGCAACTTTGTATATTATATATATTTATATGACACGGGTTTAGGTCTGGACTTACGAGTCCAGAACAGAACCCAAACCTCTGGACTTGAACCTAAATGTGAGTTTAGGTACACAGCTCTAACCTTGACTATCTGTCCTTTCTTTCTGCAGGTATGAGTACCCGTGTGAGCCCCTGGCCCACATGTGGAGGCTGTTTCTGTTGAACCAGTTCCATGATGTGTTACCAGGCAGCTGTATCAAGGCTGTAGTAGACGATGCACTGCAGTATTATCAAGGTAACTCACATCCACATATTTACTCGTAAAAGCTTTTATTACCTTGAATTGGTACCGGTAGACCAGTATGAAGTTGTGTGGGGTCGTGTGGTGCAATAGCAGACTGATCGGCTCAGAACCAAGAGGTCCCGGGTTCGAATCCTGCTCTGTCACCGATCTTGTGTTCTTGGGAAAGGCACTTAACATGACTTTCCTAACTTCACTCAGGTGTAAAGAGCACCTAGCTACAACCCTCATCATGTAACCTGTAACCTAGGAGTGGCCTTCAGGCAATATTACATGGTGATCAAGGAGTAAAAAAAAGAACATAACCATTAGAAGTTTCATCAAGTCTCGTGAGTCATAGAATATTAGTCTAAAAGTTACTTGTAGTCTTTTTTTTAACAGTAGATGTTTTAGATTCAAACATTTTTTTTAATGTATTGTTGCCATTAGAAATTCAGACTTCCGGGTGCAAGCTCTTGGGAGAAGCAACAGAGAGACTGCTCTCTGCAAAGGTACAAGCCATTTTAAAGCATAAGATTTGGTATATAGAATAATATGTATGCACATGTGTATTAGGTTGAAAAAATTATGTATTTTATTCTGTAAAGTATCAAAAAGAAAACTATGTATCATTAGGATTCGTTTGATTACAATAAAATGCTGTAATCTTTTGCTATTGGCAGTCTTCTGCAAGTGTTGCAGGGGCAGTCAACACACTATCCTGGGACAGAGAAGAGCTGTTGGAAATCCCAGCAGGCCTTGCCTCAAAGATGATGATTGACAGCTCTGTGCCACAACAGGAGTTGGATGATGGAACTGTGCTAGGTCAGTTGACAGAGTAATCTTTGAAATGGTTGTTCATAATGTGCATTAGAAGCATTTACTCATAAAAGAAAACATTATATTTCAGTACTTTGGTCATTTTAAAGACTAGTTGTCTGGTATTTAAAGTGTAAAATTACAGATTTTGGCCTGTGACAGTCAGTTGTACAATCATGCTGACATAGTATATTTGGAAGTTTATGTTGTGTTAGTTCATACATAATGTGTAATACTATTAGCAACAATTGCCTACAAAGTTATATTTTGGCAGTTAACTAGTATTCAAATAGTTCAGTAGTCAAATCCCTAATACTGAAGAGACAGGAAGCACACAGATATGGCCATAGGCACCTGTACAAGTTCCTTCGTAATAAGATTGCCCGTCTTATTTCTACCTCTAAGAAAAACTACTATGCTGACCACATAGAACATCTTAAGAAAACCAAACCAGCACAGTGGCACAAAACGATCAGACATTTGGCAAACTGGTCCAGACCGAGTTCAACAATCCATGTACCTGGATTCGAACCGACTAATACATCAGGAGCAGCTCAAGCAATAAACAGTCACTTAGCAGCCATTTGTCAAGCCCTTCCCCCACTTGACTACTCTAGACTCCCTGCATACTTACCAGCCCTACCCCCACCCCAAACTCAACCCATGGGACATGTATCAACGACTACAACGTGTTAAAGTATCTAAGGCCCCTGGCCCTGACCTTATCCCACCCAAATTAATCAAAGAGTTCGCATACGAACTCTCCACCCCCCTAACTGATATACTAAACACTTCATTGAGAGAGGGCAGGGTCCCTGAAGTGTGGCGTGATGCCACAGTAATCCCAGTGCCTAAGGAATACCCAGCGGACTTGAACAAGATCCGGCCAATCTCACTGACCGCACAGTTTGCCAAGATCTGTGAGGGTTTTATCAGCACATGGATTTTTTCGGACATCTTCCCTAACGTAGACATAAAGCAGTTTGGTAACATGAAGCGTTGCTCAACGACTCATTGTCTTATAGACCTCCTAAATTTCTTCTATGAGGGAGCTGAGAGGAAAAGCACTGTTGGCACATTAATACTAACTGACTTTTCGAAAGCATTCGATAGAGTCTGTCACACCACTGCCATTAACAAACTTATATCCATGGGCACAAGACCCTCACTGATCCCCTGGCTCTGTAGTTTTGTGTCAAGCAGAAGGCAGCGTGTTAGGTATCAGGACTCTATATCGAGCTGGGAAACACTAACGTGTGGAGTGGCCCAAGGTACTCTACTGGGCCCACTGGTGTTCCTCGCCATGATCAATGACGCAAAACCTAATACTAATAATCCACACTGGAAGTATGTCGATGACATGAACCTGGGAGAAGTTAGAACTGTGTCAACCCCAACTAAACTTCAGACTGACCTTGACTCATTGGACACCTGGGCCGAAACGAACTCCATGTTACTTAACCCCAAAAAATGTAAAGCAATGTATTTCTGCTTCATGAGAACCCCCCCAGTAATGCAGCCACTGACTCTCGGAGGTCAGCCACTTAGCATAGTTACACAAGCAAAGTTACTTGGTTTGCACATACGCTCTGACCTACGGTGGTCTGATCAAGTTGACGCCATGGTGTCCAAGGGCAGTAGAAGGTTATACTTATTAAGTAGGCTGCGTCGAGCTGGCCTCCCAAGCTCTGACCTTGTCACAGTGTATTGTGGGTATATTCGACCAATAGTTGAATATGCCACGCCCTGTTGGAATGCGGGTATCACAAAAAAACAATCTGACAGCATAGAAAGAATCCAGAAAAGGGCATGCAGAATCATGCTGGGTAGAAGCTATCACTCGTATTCCGAGGCCCTGTCAACTCTTGACCTCCAACGTCTGTCTGAACGGAGACTGACCCTGTGCCGGGCCTTTGCCCTTTCAGCCACTAGGTCTAGGCACGCCCCCTGGCTACCCCCAGTTAGTAACCACTCACACAACATGCAGCTAAGGCAAACACGGCGCTACAAACCACCCATTGGGACAAAAAGATATTTATGCAGTCCTGTCCCCACAATGCTGAACATACTGAATAACCTTGCCATACAGTAGATTTCATTTTATGTTGTTGCACATGATGTAATTGTACTTTTTTATTTTGTCAGTTGTACCTAAGTAATTTGCCAACAGAAGTTGTATGATGTAATTTTAGCATAAATGTGTATTATTCTAGCGTATAAGTGGTGTTTAATGCCTCTCAAGGCACTTTTTATGTATATATATTATGTATTAGTCATGTAATTTTTTAAAAATTTGTAAAAGCTTCTCAATTCAGCCTTTGGCTGCAAAAAGCTTCTAACCTACTGTACTATGTATGTATGAAGTATGTGTTTCTGCAAATAAACCAGTCTATATATACTATATTTGATCATGATGTAACAGGCACAGGAGACAACTCCTTTCAAAATGTAGACATTTAGACATTTTTACTTTGGTCCAAAATACAGTATCTTTTCTCCTGATGCAATGGTAAAAGCCATTCCAAATGGTGTGTTTGACTACTAAGCTTATTGATGAGAGAAGTTATTCAGGCTAGAAATCAACAGAGACATAGATGTAGTTTAGATGCTTATGCTTGACAATGTATTTTTCCCTGTTCCAGTGTGTGCCAGCTGCCCCAGTATGGGCTATGCTGCTCTAGAGGCCCCTGAATCTGACTTGTGGCCAGTGTCTGTGTCAGTGGATGAACATCAGGTGCAACCTAGACTTTCAAACCTTATCACACTAAAAACTTCTTGAAAGTGAAGACCAATCCAGAATTTTTGTCAAAAGTAGAGTAGATCATACCTAAAAAGTTTGGCACAAATTCAATTTGAAAGAACGTTTAGAAAAAAATCTGTATGTTGGTAACATTCCATCTCATTATCAACTCTCAAATCGTCATCTATATGATGTTCTATTTAATCTTTCCCAAAGTGTTGTCTGGTATTTGTCCCCAGAAATCTTTTCAAACATAAACAAAACAGTTCTATTTGTATAACAATCATTTCATTACATTTTTAGGGCTCTGTAGTGCTTGAGAATGGGTACATCTCTGCATCCATAGACTACATGGGGAGGGTGACTTCATTGGGGCTACTGGAAACTGGCAGGTAACGCATATACTTTTAATTCTAAGACTTATACAAACTTAAAGGCATCCAATGCGATTTCATGGCAGCAAAAATGGAAATATTTTGAATAAGGCAATCTTTGTGATATTCACACCTTCTGCTTCACATTAGCACATTTGATTCAGTATTTCATACCTTGGGCTTTTACAACTGCAGAAACAAGCCCCAATATGAGTCCTTTATTTTCTGGGAGGCACCCCAAAAATCAGTCAAGAGCCCTTCCAGTAACCATTTTCCGTCAGAATTTTGGGAATTTTTGCTCCAAGAGGTTCAATATACATTGGGATAAAATGTGGTTTTAACTCAGTATGTAGACAAATGACTAGAATATTGATTTTAAAAATCGGGTTTCCAAGCCCTAAAAACTGCACTGGATGCCTGGTATTTTCAAATGGAAACTGAACATCATTTAACACTCCTGTACGTTTGGAACCGCATTGTAGAATCTGTTCTTAGTTCTCAGTAACTGTTTGACAACTGACCACAATTATGTATATATCTAACCCGGCACGTTTTGAACCACATTGTAGATACATGTCCCTGTATGTAATCACGCATATGTATAGACATAATATCATACATTTGGGAATGCATCTATAGCAGTAACACCTATACTGCAATGCAATGTGAACCAGTCAGAATTGCCCTGAGGAAGATGACAGACGGTCACCAAAACGTTGGCTGAATAAAAGACTTGGTTGTGTAAAAAGAGTCTCTTTACTCAGTGTCTTACCAACCTGATGAAACTATTCACGGATCATCTGAAAGAAGTAAAAATCTGCTGAAGCCTTCCCTTTGCCTAGTTTACAGTATTGTTTTTTTTTTCATTGTTAATCGCAGTCATCTCTTCACAGCAAATTCACAACACTAAATATACAATGATTCAAAACTAATCTCCCATAATTTCAGGGAGGCAATCGCCCCGGGTTGCCTTGGTAACCAGTTTGTGTTGTTTGACGATGTCCCCCTGTACTGGGATGCCTGGGACGTCATGGACTACCATCTGGAAACAAGGTAAAGTGTCCATCTGGAAACATGGTACAAATAGGAAACCATCTAAAAACATGGTAAATCCAAGAAATCTCTGCCCATCTGGAAAAGTGGTAAAAGTAAGAAATCATTGTCTTAACTAAAATAACAGATATTAGACATCTTGTAGTTGATTGTTTTAATATAATACAGTCCTGGACTTGTGGAAGTACATGTACATTGGAGTGCACCAGAATTTCAGCACCAAGGACAGATGCTATTGAAAAATATAACAACTTTCCTATTCTGGGAAGGTTTCATTATAAAAGATGTTGAAGAGTAATAGGAGAAATTCCTGACTTGTAGGAGAACAACAACTGTCTTATTTTTTAGTTAATGGCATAGTGAAGAAAAGTTCCATAGTAACCTTTTCTTGCTTTAAAGAAATATGTATTACTCTTCCTGGTATTAAAGGCATCCAATGCAGTTTTTTAAAAGTCAATATTAAATCTAGTCATTTATCTAGTACATACAGAGTTGAAACTACACTGTCCTAATGTATATTGACTCTCATGGAGCAGGAATACCCAAAATTTCTGACGAAAAAATGGTTACTGGAGGGGCCCTGTGCTGATTTTTAGACTTACATTCTCCCTGTAGGAAGCCCCTGACAGATGTCTCACAGCAGGTGCACATCACGGAGAGTGGTCCCCTCCGTGCAGCTGTCCAGGTGCAGATCCCCATCAGTGATGCCAGCTACATCAAACAGACCATCACACTGGACACAGGCAGTATGGAGCTCAGGTTTCACACTCAGGTGGACCTTTGTTTTCTCCTCTTTTTTTCTAGAAAAAAAATCAGGCTCTGAATCATCTCCAAAATGCTCATATTTTGGCCCCAACAGTTGAAGGAAGTCTCTTCTCTTCAGAGTTGTTCCAGTTTTTCCATCTATCAATGCAGTGGTTTGATTAAAACTTTGAAATTCATTGATTGAATTACAAACCAGCCTGGTATGTTGACTTGATGGTTACTATCAGAGCATTTATTTGGGTCTATCATAGGATGCCTAGGCCTGTTTTTATTCATTTCTTTTGCCCTGTGGCTTCATATTTTTTTCGTAAAAAATCTGAGAACCAACAAATCAAACTGGTGTGGCCTAATATATTTGTTACCATTACACTCTTCATGCATTTTTTTGTGTCAGTTGGTCCTGTACCAAAATGTATTGACGTCATTGCTGAATACTTCTAAAAATTCTATGGATTGACTTCAAATTTGTTTCTATGTAGTACAATGAAGTAAACTTACATTGATACATGAAGTGTAAAAAAGTCTAAACATGCAGCTTTTGAAAGCCTGAAGCTTCTTTGAAACTACTTGTACTTCTGACACAAGTTCTGAATTCTGTACATTTTTCTTTAGAATTCTAACAATTTCTTTGACATCTTACTGGATTTGATGTAGGTTGAGTGGCACGAGAATCGAAAGTTCCTGAAGGTGGAGTTCCCGTTGCACGTGCGTACTACAGAGGCCACGTATGAGACAGCGTTTGGACACCTGCGCCGGCCCACACACCAGAACACTTCATGGGACTGGGCAAGATATGAGGTGGGGAAATCACAGCATTCATTACAAGTTATTTGTTGCAGTCATTTGAGAAATATTAAATGACAACTCTGAAAAATCCGTGAATAGTTTCATCAGGTTGGTAAGTCACTGAGTAAAGAAGTTCATTTTTACACAACCAAGTGTTTTATTCTGAAAAATATTATGCATAACTACATGTAGGTGTAAGTAATCATCAGATGCTATATTCATAACTTCAACTGAATACAAAGTTAATTGCTTTGTGTTATTGTAAGTGATGACAAAGATTTAATGTTTTTTTTACAGCATTAGGACATTATATTTCTTCTACATTTGATATTTATGCTCATGCATACACCTAACCTTAAAATGGTCTTTGATATAGATTCTCAGTGCCTAGAATGTACAACTCCAAAAAACAAAATTTTCAATATATACAATGTATATATGCATGTAGTTTATAATCCAAAACAATACCATTTTAACTTGCGACATAAAGACATTCAAATAAATTCTAAAGCTTTATTTAAAATTTAGAGTTAATCAATTGAAGTTTGCTTTATTCTCAGGTTTGTGGCCACAAGTGGGCAGACCTGTCTGAGTACAACTTTGGAGTGGCCCTCATGAACGACTGCAAGTACGGGCACTGTGCACAGGGCAATGTCATCAGGCTATCTCTGTAAGTACACTCAGGCATTACATTTTCATAAATATCAGTTTGTTGGCTTGCACTTTGCTAAAACAAGTGTTCTATCCAGGGTCCGTCTAATGAAATGTCTTCATTTCACAGAATTATGCTGCTCATTATGGACACATTTTTGCCCAATCTCTCATCTTTGAAGGACACAAATTGGTGTGTAAAGATATGTCATTAAACTAAGCTTAGCCTACCAGCAAAATTTCCCCCTCGAAATGCAGGAAATAACTGTTTCAGAGGGTCAAGATTTAGTAAGTAAGCTGTGTTGCACAACCAGTCAATGATAGAAAAAGCATTGAAATTTACCCTATTAGAGAGGATGGCTGCATACAGTATACCTAGTAATAGTAGTATTATGTTTGTATTTGTGTTTGCTCTTGTAGCCTGAAGTCTCCCAAGGCCCCAGACAGTGAGGCAGACATGGGACATCACACCTTCACCTATGCTATCATGCCTCACATGGGTAAGAGCAGTAACAGCAAGTTACTGTTAGAGAAATATCAATTACAAACTAAGCTAAACCTGTTTTAACCTTCTACCTGCTGCCCAGAACCATCCACAATACACATTTGGTGTCAGAAGGCAGCTTAAGGAGGGAGATGGTTAATCAGTGGATGACAAAATCATGTGAAAAACAATTTCAGCACCAAGGACAGATGCTATTGAAATAAACAACTATCAATCTCTATCCCCCAAAAAGTTTTTTTTAAGAGGTAGTGTTTCAAGTTCTTGTTCTCAGTGTTTAATAGTTTGGGCTCTCAATATTTGTTTACCGGAGGAGGAAAACATATTGTTTTTGCTCAGTTTCTTCTTCCTCTTCTTCTTCTCCAAACAGTGACCTCAATGACCTAAACCAATGTTGTGTCTGTTACCATGGTAACTAGTGTTGGGTTTCATCATGTTGCAATTTTATAGCAGGAGGGATTTAGACTCATGTCTGACCATATACTAGTATATGAATGTGTTTGAGTAATTTTTGTTAATCTTATACTTGAATATCATGTCACCAAGGGCTTGAAGGTTATTGAGTTGTCATTGACCCTTGACCCTAGGAACGTTCCAAGATGCAGGGGTAATCCAGGCAGCCTACAGCCTGAACCAGCCCCTCCTGCCTGCACAGCTGCCAGCTGACCCGGACAGCAGGAGTCACAGCTTCTTCACTGTCAGCAACCCTGCTGTCATTCTAGAAACTGTCAAAAAGGTGATGAACAGCTTCCTACAGATTTAATATGCAGTGTGCTGTGCTATGCTGTACATGTATTTGTCAGCTTCTATACTGTCAGCAACCCTGCTGTCATACTGGAGACAGTCAAGAAGGTCATGAACAGCTTTTTTTAGACTGAAATGTAGTGTGCTGTGCTGTAGTTGTCAGAAGCCCTACTTAGAGTACTGTAACAGCAGAGGTTTGGATTTTGGCTTATTTTTGGCATGTTTGTATCTGGTATATTTTTAAATAATATGCCAACCCAGCTGTAAAAAAAGATACCAGTGCAAGAAAGGAAGCCTGATAAACCACCATAAATAAGCCAAAACTCAAACCTCTGCTTGGAAAGTATACTGAGACTACGCCAGATAGTTGTGGGCCAAATGTATGTGGGCATAGCTTTGTAAGTTGATGTGCATGTCACTTTCTTTTTTTGAAATTCTTAAAGTAGTGTCTTTTAATTTAATATAATAATGATGACAAGAATTTTTATTTCTGGTGATACAGAAATACCTGATTCTTGTTCAGTGATTACATGCTGTCAAATTCTATGTAACAATATATATTGAGCAACTGTAGATTTGTTTTGGTTTGTTGCAGGCAGAAGATCAGGAGAATGCCATAGTGCTGAGGTTGTATGAGTCCTGTGGTGGACATGGGACAACTGCAGTATCTTCCACACTACCTATTACCAGGGTAGACAGGTGGGGACTATCATAAGTGAATTTTCCTGTTTGACAGTTAATGAGCAAGTCATTCATTCATGTACCTAGTAAATAATAAAGCAGGTGTATCCAAGCAACCACTTGATAGATCAACTGGTCTCTAAAAATAGTAACAATTTTGTAAGTCTAGAGTATTATTACTTCAATTTACGTAGATTTGAAGAGTGTATAGTATAATCCTTAGGCAATATGTATACTGATGATATTGCTAGCCTCTACCAGGCTTCAGGAAGCGGCTGGGAAGAGTAGAAATTGGCCCATAAAACAGATGATATGCTAGGGGAGTTGGTCCATACAAAGAGCAGAAAACTGTACTCTAAGCATGGGCCAACTCCTCTGGCATGTTAGTCTATTTGACCGATTTCTACTCTTTCTAGCTGCTTCCTGAAGCCTGGTAGAGGCTAGGTATTTCAGCCCTCATCCTGTAGTTGTTTCATTTTTTAATAATGATAATAATAATAATGAAGACCTTTATTGTACGCAAATACCCACTGGGTTCAGTACAGGTCACAGAAAAGACATCACAGTTTGCAATGAATATATACAATGTACAAGCTAGTGCTAATTCTATGTACTATATATGGACATATAGTCTTACTAATAATTACGATAATTTGGCTTCTTCTCGCTTCTTAGTAATGATGTAGATATAAGTACAGATGTGAATAGTTACACAAGTTTTTATCATTTTTTTTTAAATTTCAGGTGTAACCTGTTGGAGGAAGTGGACAGCAGCACTGCCCTACAGTGGGAGGGGGGCAGTGTCCAGCTGTCCTTCACACCTTTTCAGATCATCACACTACTGGCATACCTGTGATCACTCACCTGTCACTTCACACTGTTATGCTTATCGAAAAATATCCATATTTGATTATTTACCACTCCCCTTTGCAGTACAAGTGAAAAAGGACACTGCATTTTATGTTTTTTGATGAAAAAAAAAAATTTAAAAAAAAAAGTGAAAAAGGACACGGTCCATATAGGGTCAAAGTTCAAGGTCAGATAGCAAGGATAAAGCTACCAATCTGCAACCTGGCTGTGATAGCCTCCTTTGCAGACTTGTGAGGTGTCGGTGTGATCTTTTTTGTGGGAGTGGCATATACTCCCTTCACTGCAAAACTCCCTCTTCGTAGCCCATGTAAAAAATTGTGTATCAGCACTCAACACAAACACACAGCATAAGCACACAGACAAACACACAATGGTTAAAAGAAAACATGGTATTTCTACAGGGAAGTATTATTGTGTCCTATTGGTTTTAGAAACCAAATAAATATGTGAAAGACAACAAAACCATGCAACAGTGACGACAAAATCTTCACAGAAATAAGATCAGTGACATAGAACAGGTTCTGACCTTGGTGCTAAAATGCCCTCCCCATGAGTATAGTATCGAAACCCTGGGGCATCTCTACAGATTAGTGTTGGGACATTTTAGTTTCCCAGCTGAATTTGTTGTTTTTGTCACATAAATAATGTTATTAGCTCCAAAGAAAAGGTCTTTATGATTAGTCAAAATCATTGAACAATTATTGGATGTCTGTTATTTTTTTACAATTAATGTCTAATGGTGTTGAAGTAAATGGATGGTGGCTGTATAATCTGCTAATGTTTGGTTTAAAAAGAGTATGACTAGGTACTGGTACATTTTTTTGGCCACAAGCAAGTGATTCTGTCCATAAAAAAACGTGAAATTTCACACATTACACTCTTTTTTATGTAGAACTTGACATATCAATGATATGTTGCAAATATTGGTGCCTTAGGCATCATAATTAATAGTCTTGCAAATCCCATGACAATATCACAAAGCCATTATGACCTTAAAGCCTACATTGTATCACTTGTGGATACAAACATTGCCATATAAAATCTACAAAAACCTTTCATTTGTCAAAAATAGTGTAACATAGTGTAAAAGCTGAAATATACGGCAATAAAATCAGTAGTACTCTTGTGGAATGTTCTAGAAACACACTTCCATATTTTCAACACATGCCCATTTAAATCAATGGCTTTTCTGTATTGTATAAGCACAGGTAGACATACCTGGACAACTGACCTTATCCACAGTGTCACCTGAACTGTGCGATCTATGTTGTTCAAGACAGATCATTATTAGAGATGACAAGAGATATGGATCTGTGGATATCTTCTTTTGTATGGGTGTCATCCCGCTATGTCGTCTCAATACCGTAAAACAACATATTTACTCAAGAATAAAGAGTCATACAAAAAGATTGTGCTTCGCAGGATAGTGATTTTTTTTAGATTTAACGAAAGCTTTTGATGCATATTTTATGCAGAAACCGTCCGTTACAGAATCGTTTTGTTGATGTTGTCTTTTAAAGGCATCCAATGCGATTTCAGAGCAGCAAAACTGGAAGTATATTAATTGAATGCAATCTTTGTGATGTTGACATATACTGCTTCACATTAGCACATTTCAATCATTATTTCATACTTAAGGCATTTAAAACTGTAGAAACAAGCCCCAAGATGAGTCCTTTATTTCCTGGGTGGTACCCTAAAAATCAGCCCAGGGCCCTTCCAGTAACCATTTTCCGTCAGAATTTTTGCTCCACGAGGGTCAATATACATTGGGATAGTGTTGTTTCAACTCAGTATGTAGATAAGTGACTAGAATGTTGACTTTGAAAAAATCTGGTTTCCAAGTCCTAAAACTGCACTGAATGCCTTTAATTAAGATAATTTAATAATTTTGATTCTTTGATTTGGTTTTACAGAATATGTCAGAACACAACAGTAGAGTCATGTATTAACTCTTAAAACCCTGCCTGGGATATAATGTGTACTGCAATGCTTGGATATCATCTACATAAGCGCTGCAAATTCCAGGTCACAGATTTAGCGCCCAAGCCTACGGAGCGATGAATAATTAAACATCTGAGAGTGGAGCTTTGTTGTTGTCACGCAGCCTCTATTTAGGTACCACGTCCGTTGCCATGGTTACGTGAAAAGGCCTCTTAGGTGCCATTTTGTCGAGGATTAATATTCCGCAATCTGTGTACAGGTGAGCTCTTAAATATGACTTAATGCTATTTTTCCTTAGAAATAAGACTGTGTGTAACAATTTAGATGGAAATATTTTATCATATGTATGATGCAAACATCCTTGCAAATTAGATATTTTGTGTATTGTATAATTTTATTATAGGTAAATTTTATACTTTATTATCCTAAGTGTACTCTTGTATAGTAGATTTTCTGGAAAGTGATTTAGACGATGTTGACAGAGATATTCTCACAATATATTGTACTGATTATCATTGCAATTTTAAAGCTGCAATGAAGGCATCGTTTTTACCTTTGTTCTCTGTATCGGAAATATCTAGGCACGCCCAAGTGCGCCTATGGGGCCTTCCCTCACACACCTGTGTCAGTTTGGGATACCGCTGAGTGGACAAGTTATGACTGTGGTCAGAGTCGTGTAGGCAGAACATACGCCAGGATCTTGTACAAAAGAAGGGACTGCAAAAGTCTTCCTCTTTTCTTTTGGTTTCTTTGAGACTGCAACCTTCTTGAGGTCCAACTTGTCGAAGAGTCTGTCTCTACATTGAGGTAAGTTTATTTCATCTATTATGATAGTATAGTCACAATGCGTTATGTTATTCTTACGTACAAAATATTAGCCTATATTGTAGTTTCGTGCACAGTTTTGTGCACAAGCTTTAGAAGTTAAGTCGTATTCTATAAAATTTCTTGCAGTGTCTAGAAAGACAGAAATGCTGAGGAAATATGTTCAAAATGCCTATGAAATATGATTTCAAATAGATACCTGATTTGGCCCTTTTCATTAATATGTACATCATATCAGTCACATTGTGCAACATAACTTCGTTATAAGAAATTATGTATCTGACCTATACCACATATTTGACACATAGTTTCATCCCTAGTGTTAGTCAAATAAATGAGAGAATGTACACTATGTATTATCAAATTTCCACCACTATCAAACTGTACCCTATTATTCGATAACCTTTGTTGAATTATTAATATGTCATAAAAGAATCAGAGAAACCGCATAGTGGCACAGGCGTGTGTCGCCATTTTGATTTTAGTTCAGGTGAGATATTCATATCATATTTCTTTTGCCAAATTTTACTACAGAACTCCGTTAATAAGTCATTTTATTATTTTGTAACACCAAAAAGTGTCTTTCCCTCCGACAACCGGTACCTAAAGTATAAGTGATTTATGAGTAATATAACAATGTAACGTCTGTGTAAGACATTAATTTTTACAGAAACTAATCTGTTTATTGTTTTGAACGATTAAACTGCTACCACAACATATGAAACATAAACACAATACCGTGGGTGTCCTCCAATATTCGTGCTACACAAACATCATGAATGTGTATTTCAGCTATATCAAATGCATGTTTTGAAAATGCATGTTTTCTCAATGTCTAGTATCTCGTTTGGCAAGTTTTACTCCTCATGTAATAAAAGAGAAGAAGCGTGTTAGTGCCCTCATATATCGTGCTCCAGACCTATAGACATCATGTATTTAATGTGTATTTCGGCAATATCATTGCAATAATGTATCAATTATCAATGAACGTAGCAACATAGAAATGTCACATCTCTTTTTCATCTCTTTATTACCTCCATGAAAAATGGAGGTATTAATATTGCTTTTCGTTTGTGTGTGTGTGTGTGTGTGTGTGTGTGTGTGTCTGTGTTTCTGCACATTTGTAGACAGCATAACTTCAGAACGCCCTTTTGGATTGTGATGATATTTGGTATGTTGGTAGGTAGTAGGAAGACCAAGGTCAAATATGGGCCTCTGACCTTAGTACTGCAGCAGAACGTACGATGGTGATGATTGCAATGATGCATGTTTGCCCTCGTGCATCCCCAGGTCTTTATGCCCAGGCCTTCCTTCCGTCAGAAGCCAGACATGTGCCGGCCGACAGAGTTTATCAACCTGCTGGCGGGCCTGCACGTGGGGCTGGGGCTGCTGGAGCTGGTGGTCGGCATTGTGGAGCTCAAACTGTACGAGCTGTCAGACGCCACGCCGATATGGGGAGGGGTCATCGTGAGTAGAAACGATTTGTCACTTCACCTTTAGCCTCCTGTGCAGACTTTTCTAGCGACATGTATATGTTTCTATGAGTGCGGCGGATTCTTTTCGCACTGGCCACTATAAAAGTCTGCAATCTACCTCAAGGGAGTGAAGTCTTAAAATCTCAATCTCCAGATTATGATGTGCTTAGGGTCTGTCTGTAGCTTTCTTCCGGCCTTCTCTCTCTCTCTCTCTCTCTCTCTCTCTCTCTCACACTCTCTCTCTGTCTTTCTCTGTCTCTCTCCCTCTCTCTCAGCACTATAACACGCCTACAAATTAAAGTAGAATAAACATTTCTAGATATATAGTACCTTTGTGAGTATTCAAATCATGGTGACATTGAACTTTCTTTCTGAAGGAACTGTCCGTAGGAGGAGTGTGGATCTTTGCTACATGTAGGGACTGTGGAGACAAACCAAAAGTAAGTCTGACGTTCGATCATCATCAGTTTGAAAGTAGCAGGATATATAAAAGCGCACATCGAATCATACAGGTAGATGTGTATATGTGTGTTGATGTGTATTATTCGTTTCTTCCCCAGGCCATCTGCCTGTTAGTGGCTAGTAACGTGGCGCTGGTGCTGGGAGTGGTGCAGGTGTCTCTGTCTGCACAGGTCACGGCGTGCGTCAGCTCACTGGAAAGGTGGGTTCTTCATTTTGTTCCGCCAAAGATATTGATGTATAGAACACTGCCCCCGCAGTCTCAACTAAGATTAGAGGAGTAATTGTAATTTCCGAGCGTTAGCTGCCTGTTTCTATGTCAAGTCACCTGTCTCGTGGCTAGTTAGCCTTCCCAAGATCTGCTTGGTATTGGCATAACAAGTATGCCGTATGTTGTTTTCTACCGTCGAATGTCAGCATTTTCCCTTAAATTGAGACCTTAACGTGTCTAACGTAACAAAACTAGTAACAGATAACAGCAATTGTGTAATCAAATTTTGTTTGTTTGATTGTGTGGGCAGTAATCGTAATGCTGAACGTAATTGTTTGTTTGTTTGTTTGTTTGTTTGTTTGTTTGATTTGTACAGGAACACAGCTGAAGACGCTCTGCAGGTGATCAATCTTATCCTGGCCGTCTTCATCATCATCACGTCTTACATCTCCTCTAACGTGGCCAGTGCCTCCGTGGCTCGGGTACTGGTAAGTGTCTTAAGATGGAAAACCTAGCAGGCATTTCTTTCTTGGGGTAGTTCTTTTAAAAGAAATAATTTCCTAGAGTTAAAAGAACAGGTTAGGTTAGGTTAGTGAAGGCTAGGTTAGGTTAGGTTAAGTAAGGTTAGGTTAGGTTAGGTGTAGTTAGGTTAAGTAAGGTTAGGTTAGGTTAGGTTTGGTTAGGTTAGGCTAGGATAGGTTAGGTTTGGTTAGGTTAGGTTAGGTTAGGTTAGGTTAGGTTAGGCTAGGCTAGGCTAGGATAGGTTAGGTTAGGTTAGGTCAGGTAAGGCTAGGTTAGGTTAAGCTAGGCTAGGTTAGGTTAGGTTAAGCTAGGCTAGGCTAGGTTAGGTTAGCTCAGCTCATGTAGATAGATGTGCAAAGACTGTTTTATTCTGTCCTGGGTTCTGTTCCAGATGCCGGAAGAAGCGCTGGTCCCCGTGAGGAGAAACGTGGACGAGTCGTCTCCAAACGCCACCACAGCGCTCATGATGACCAGCTGAGTCCAACACACTACGAAAGCCACCTAAAGCCTAGCTTCCATAGCATGCCAAAACTGGGGGTTTTGGGGGTCTTCAGGGTCTTTGGGATCTTTTATGTGCTATTTTCTGATTGCATATAGACAACATAGCCGGCCTGGTTGGATTACCCCCGTTTTTTGAACTGGGCTAATCAGAAAACAGCCGGAGACCACCAAACCACCAGTTCTATAAGTCTGCTACGGAGGCTACCTAAAGCTCCTTTCACACATTCACGAACGTCCTACGATTTCGTGCTCAGTCAGCTAGTGTTCGGGGGGCACTCTGACCAGATTTAGACCACGCCTTACCTTTTGTATATGACTCAAAACGAATTTGAGTTAAATTGGAGTCAAATTTGATCCCTAAACACACCTTGAACACTGCTTACAGATGGTTGGATTGTGTTTTGCTGACTTACGGTCGAAAATCCGCCAACTATGATCGAGCCTCCCGAATGTTTTAAACGTTTTGAAACATTCGGCTGGCGCAGCCGAACCGTAGCCGACCCACTCCCAACCATGGTTGGTGGGCGTTTGGGTATCGTTCGGGAGGCCAAATTCGTGAATGTGTGACAGGGCTTCAACCAGACGCGTTTACAACATAAGTAGACTTCTAGAGACATACTATTTCACCTCTAGTTCCACAACAGATGGCTGTTATAGTCACCAAACATTGTAAATAGAATCACTTCATACCTTGTATATACAATTGCAACCGAACTCTTGCAGGACAAGGAAGGATAGAATTCTACAAAACATTCTATAGACGTACCAACTTCTAGTTCTACCCACATTTTGTATGTGTGTCCGTTTTTGTGGTTGTGTATTAGTGTTAGATAGTTCACTAAGCTATTGTCAAGCAGTTACTTTTAAGTATATTGAAATCACCACATTTTGTACATGCCAATTTTGTGCAGAATTCGACAGTACATGTACACAATGCAGCAGACAGACCCACAAGATATATAGTTAACAGTACAAATTGGAATGATATTACATAGGGTGATTCTAGTCCCCTGTATAGTAAAGCAATGTAAATTCTTTGTGATTAAGATATACATCGACGATTAGTATTGGGTATGAATGCAATAAAATAGACTATTGCTCGTAACAAGCCGCATTGTACCAGATCAAGGCTTGAGCCTTTCGACGAAAGTCTTTATTCTAGATGTGCAGACAAATAAAGAGATGTCACCACAATTGTAGAAAACGATAACAGTGATGAATTATAACAACATATTCTTGAATGATTTTTCAATATGCACGACATGTGCATTTTGTACGACTTCAGTACGCGAATCGTGAAAAAGCACATTTTGTGTTATATACAACGCGCGCGTTTATTCTTTTACATCTTGTTACAAAAACATTGGATGTTCCTGTCTATGTAACAGTACAGTAGCTCATCGCACAATGTCTGATTCTGTGGAATTTCAAGCAGCAGGCTGAGACAAGAAAGAAATACAATACTGTCTGCTTTTTCCGTACAAAGACAGTTAAATTTTGCAGGACACATGCACGACTAGCTATATAGCCAAGAATGTCCTCAGTTTTGCGATCATACCCCGATCGCGCTACGTACGTTCTTGAGCGTGAGTTGGCCCTATTTAGGTAGTACTCTCTTATGATCTAGCCTGGTTACCAAACCTCTGATCTGCCAAGGAGCTTTTACATCACTGTAATGAAAGCTTGGATCTGCCTCTTTCGCCCTCTCCGCAAATCCGTGGACAAAAGAGACTCGGCAGCTAAAATAATTTTGTTAACCAGGCTGCTTGAGACCTTAGTATAAGGCATATATGTTTAAAGTTTAAACTTTTGGTCCAACACAAAAAATTCTCTCACCTAGAGCTTTTGACCAGTCACTCTGGTCTTCCTCAGTAGACTGACCCAGTGAAGCTTGTCACGTGACTTTATCGTCTACCAGATACCTTTGACCCAGTGTTGACGTCACACTTCAAAGAAGCCACGTGACAAGCTTCACTGGGTCAGTCTACTGAGGAAGACCAGAGTGTCTGGTCGAAAGCTCTAGGTGAGAGAACTTTTTGTGTTGGACCAAAAGTTTTAACTTTAAACATGTAACTACCAACACAGATGAACTTTCATGATAGTATAAGGTATATACATAACAGATTTCAAACTGCTTGATTTCTCTCTATATACATTAATCTTATATCTCCATACTGTCCGTGGCGAAGCTCGGCAGTCTGTTAAGCGGGCGACTGTGGTTTCCCAGTCCGGATGAGAACATGCTGACTTTGTCCATCACCTTCCTGATGGCCGTAGGCGACAGTTTCAACGCCTGGCACGCCTTACACTTCTTGTACAACTTCTCGAACATAGTTCTGACTTCCTCGTGGGACTCCTTAGCGGAGACTTCTATGAACATGCAGCCGAGAGCGGTGGCTATCTTCTCCCCCTCGGAAGTCTTGACCATCCGGTCCAGTTCTAGGTCTCGCTTGTTGCCCACCACCATGACGGGAACTTCAGGAGCGTGCGCGGAGGAGCCCTTGGTGTGGTTGATGAGGAACTTGAAGCGCATGATCTCGTCGAAGCTGCACTGGTCGTTGATGCAGTAGGCGATGATGAACGCGTCGCCCCATCGGATCTTCTCTTCAAGATTCGGCGACTGGGGGTCCTCCTAAAAACGAGGAAAGAATTAGAAAAAAAATTCTCTGGTTTCAAACGATTTCCATTACGATTGCTTAGAACCAAAATACTAAAAAGAAAATTATCAAAATGTGGAGATTGGGGGTCCTCCAGAACATTCATCCTACAAAAGTATATATCTTTATATATCTTAATATGTTTGTATTAAGTATAATTTTGAAACTCGAGCGTACCTGTCCAGCCGTATCCAGGATCTCAAAGTGAACCTGCTCGCCGTCTATGTACGTGTTGTGTTTGTAGATGGCCTCTGGTGTGAAGGAAAGAAAACATTGTTCAATAAAAATTCAATTGGTTAGATAAAAAGAAAACTTACAAAACTTGTGTTATGCCTAAAAAGGCGGTTTACCGGTTATGCGAAACAAACAAACAAAATAAAGCAGTATGACTGTGCGATTATGATTTTGACTGTATGGTTATAATGAAAGCCATATACATGCAGCTATGAGTGTAGCATATTTGATAATATGCAAAATATCGAGGCTTGTCACTCTTGTTTGTTTCTCTTCATTGCAGTACGATTCACAATAGATTCGACAGAGGGCGCAAGTGAGTGGTGCTTACCCAACGTTGGATCGTAGTCACAGATGAAACGCCTCGTCACGAATCTCACGGTCATAGCTGAAACAACAAATGTATTGAACAGGTTGTCACTTGCAATTATTAACAATTTGCGCACATGTAAATCATTAATTGCAATAACCAAGTGCACGAATGTATGCATATTCAGTTGTCTTATCTTTTACTCTTTTCTTTATCTCCAATCCCCCTTTTTTCAATCAAAATTTTTGTCGTTTTTGTTACTATTTTGGGTTTTGGTCCGAAGGACGGCCCTTTATTTCTGACTTCCTTCTTGCCATACGATATCTCCTGGCACGTTCCATTCGTTGGCAAGAACTAGCCAACAAGAACGCAGCTCTTTGAAATAGATCGACGGTTTTTGGTTTGTTTTGACCAGTCTCTGGCCTCTACCTGTCAACGCAACGTTCACTCCGCAGACCTTATCTCGCGTTATCTCGTGTTATCTCGCGTTAGGCCACAGCACGTAATTTTTATGGATGACATCAGCGCGCGCATTAATTTTCGTCTAATTTTTTTGGGGAAAAACAAGATATTTTGTTGCCCTTTGACAGTGGCCAACAATGCCAAAAATTGGCAAAGATGTCTGTTGCCATACCGAAAGGTGGATGACAGACAGATATGAAGAGAGGAGACAAGACAAGGCTCTGATTTAATGTTTTGTCGTTTACTTTGATGCAGTTGTGTTTCATTCCTTTTATATGTGATGGTGGCTGTTTATATGTTATGTTTCCACTGAATCAAAACCATTTGTTCAATGGTTGAAAACTTTTATTTTTCAAAGTTGTTTTAGTGAGAAATGGATGTTGTAATAATTGGCAGTAATCTACAGTATCATTTCTTGTTTAACAACTTTATGATTTCTAAATTTGAAAATCTAGGAATCTTTTTTTGTCCCGCCTTGCTTTTTTTTTTCGTCCTCCCGCATTAGATTTTAAGTCTGCGGAGGCTGTTATCCATAGAATTTACTTGTTGTGACCTTATCTCGTGTTATCTCGCGCTGTCTCGTGTTATCTCGCGTTATCTCGCGCGGAAGGACACGAGATCGGCAGGTTGTAAAGTGAGTTGAAATACGATCAGACCTGGTAACAGCTACTGTTTTTCTGCCGTCCACACGGACTGGGCAGAGGCATGCCGGGTATGTGAAGCTCCAGCGAACAAGGCTGACCCTCAGCGAGACATTTTGACCAGACAAACTATTTCTGGCCTCTTGCGGACAGTTGCCGATTGCAGTTTTGAATACCATAAATTTTAACCCGTCTGTAATGCTGAGGTCACATTTCCAAAGCGGCGCCCGGCCGGGATGTTTCGATTAAGAAAAAATCAATAATTTATATCAATAACATACGCAGATAGTTCCATTGTTATTTTCTAAAAATTTTTTTGTGATTTGTTGTCTTTTATGCGCGTCCGGGCCCCGGTTTGGAAATGTGACCTCAGCATTAGATCTGGGGGGGGGGGGGAGGCATTGTATAAAGAAGACTTGTGCTTGCAAAATAAGGAAGACATGTTTACAAAAATACTGTTGTTGTTTGTACTGAATTTGCAGCAATAAAAGGTGTTCATTTTATCATTATGAGACCTTCTGGGCAGTACATGTATATGTAAAGGGTCGAGTGTTTTTTGCAAAATGGCATATTACAAATTTACATTTTTTCAGTCATTACATCGTAGTGAAAGACAATATACTGGTTATTTGACTGTTTTTTCGTACATGTACATGTATGTATTGTTGACCGTTATCAACCAGTTTTAAGAGTAATACATGTACTGTCTACTGGACTGGACTCGCAGCATTTAGATAATAGTAAGCTTCATTTTCGCACAAGTTCATTGCGTTATCTATGTCCAGGTACATGCATATTAAAGCAAGATACTTTTGTTATACTTAGAACCCACCACAATCTTATCTACAAAGAAATTCTTTGAGATAGTTCAATCGTTGCGTCGGAAGATGCTTATCTTAAACCTTCTATCAAACTGAAACTTTGACCTGATATGGCCTCTATGGGCAAGGTCAGCAGATATCAGCTACCATGGCGGGGAGGTTGTGTAGTATCCAGAACCGTGTCTATCTGGTTCAATGCCTAATGGGTTAGGATCATGTTCTGGATAGTCTCTGTGCCTGAGCAGCAGGGTTCTGGATAAAGCACGGTTCTGGATACAACACTAGTCTCCACCAGATTCTTTTGCAGACTGAAACAAACTGGGCCCTCTATGGCCGGCCAACTCCCCAGGCCAGCTACATTCTTTTAGGCCGATTTCTACTATTTATTCAGTCTGCAAAAAAGGCTGATACAAAAGGTTGTGGACGGACACGAGATGATTACAGATAAACTACAATCACGTCATGTCATTCAGAAAACTATTTGTACTTAAGAGTGGCCAATAATATTCGATCAAACGGAGTACTGCTTGTTCACAACTTTCAGTCAAACTCATAAGTCAAACCTATAAGTCAAATGTCAAACGTCAAATATGCTGTATTGAAGAGGCAGATTTGCAGTAGTGTAGCCTGGGTGTCAGCCCTTTGCAAAGGACAGTATACAGGCTAGCTCCTGGGCTCCAGGGCCAACATGTCCCCAAGGAAATTTTACCAGACTCTCTCAATTAGGCCCTGAACAATACTTCTCAGGGTCTAACTTGAGGCTTCTGTTTTGGCCCTGAGATTAGTCTGGTATCCAGACTAGCAGTAATATCAACTTTTATAATGCTTTATAGCTGTATGATCTACTGCTTGAATGCACATCCGGAAGCCTTAATGTATATATATATTATGAGCTGCGTTTTGAATATTTTACGTTCCTTACGCTTGAACAGATCCACAAGCGATAGGTCATCAAATTCCTTTCATACAATTATGAAAAGACTTACTAGAGGTAAACAACATTCTATGTAAGATAAAATATTAGATGCCAGGATATGACGAAGAAAGCTTTTCATATGGGCTCCTTATGAAACTGGTTTGGAATCTCGTTATTGTAAGGCGTTGAAAGAATGCCCCTCCCTTTGGTTTGATGGAATTGAGGAAGATAGACAGGTTATGGTTCCTTATCTGTTGACCAGGCGACTTGGCACGAGTTTTGACGTCTTAAGGTCCCGTGAGACATTGTAGGTGTTGAAAAGGCCTGTCTTCTGAGCGCTAACAAGGAAAAACTAGGTTCTTGCTTCAAGATGTCTCCTGACACAGTAAAGAGCTCAAAATACCACCTGCATATGCAGGTTAGTGCAGGTAAAATGGGAGCTGTGCAGGTATTTCTGATGTCTACCTGCACCTAACCTGCACTGGTCCATGTACTGGGTATATGCAGGTTAGTGCAGGTAAAATTGGAACTGTGCAGGTATTTCTGATGTCTACCTGTACCTAACCTGCACTGGTCCATGTACTGGGCATATGCAGGTTAGTGTAGGTAAAATTGGAGCTGTGCAGGTATTTCTGATGTCTACCTGTACCTAACCTGCACTGGTCCATGTACAGGGCATATGCAGGTTAGTGTAGGTAAAATTGGAGCTGTGCAGGTATTTCTGATGTCTACCTGAACCTAACCTGTACTGGTCCATGTACTGGGTATATGCAGGTTAGTGCAGGTAAAATTGGAGCTGTGCAGGTATTTCTGATGTCTACTTGCACCTAACCTGCACTGGTCCATGTACTGGGTATACGCAGGTTAGTGCAGGTAAAATTGGAGCTGTGTAGGTATTTCTGATGTCTCTACCTGCACCTAACCTGCACTGGTCCATGTACTGGGTATATGCTGGTTAGTGTAGGTAAAATTGGAGCTGTGCAGGTATTTCTGATGTCTACCTGCACCTAACCTGCACTGGTCCATGTACTGGGTATATGCAGGTTAGTACAGGTAAAATTGGAGCTGTGCAGGTATTTCTGATGTCTACCTGCACCTAACCTGCACTGGTCCATGTACTGGGTATACGCAGGTTAGTGCAGGTAAACTTGTTGGATTATCTGTTGACCAGGCGACTTGGCACGAGTTTTGACATTTGAAGGCCCCGTGAGACATTCTAGATGTTGAAATGTTCTGTCATCTGAGCGCTAACAAGGCAAACCTTGCTTTCAGAGGTATTTTAGGACACAGTTTTTACAGGGCTCAAAATACCACCTGCATATGCAGGTGAAATGGGAGCTGTGCACTAGCCAGGTATTTCTTATGTCTGCCTGCACCTGTCCATGCACTGGGATTTGTATACAAAATATAGGTGTATATGTACATGTATGTGGATTTTTATTTGCTGCATTCACGTGTTACCAGCTAAGAAATAGTGAAAATGAACAGCATTAGTATGATCCATACCTCCTAAGTTCTGAGTGGTGCAGGTAAAAGTTGTCTGGTGCAGGTAATTTTCAATGTCACTTGCACCAGTGCAGGTATGCAGAAAAAAACGTATTTTCGAGCCCTGCAATACAATCGTGGCGTAACATTGGGATAAAATGAAGGAAAAGGACATATTCTGTGTCTAATTGCCATGTTTATTTACATCTAAGCCTGTGTTTATTTTCCATGTTTGTTTATATTCAGGTAGTCAAAACATTTACAGAAACCCCCGTGCTGTCTCAAAAAATGTGACATCTCAGTACTGTACACACAATAACAAAAATATTCCATTTAGATACTATAAAAACTTGTGAACAATATTTTCTTTAACATTTTTGTACGCAAGGTTTGAAGATAAACATACTGTAACGTACGTACTGCAAATACCCTTGCAATTCTAGATTTTAAACAGATACACTCAAAATAGAAATCAAAACCCAAACGTTTCTAGCAGTTTTCCCACCAAGTAGTTATTATTAACTGAAGGGAGGTTAGAAGTTCTGAAACGTGTCATCGACACTTACACGCACACCAAGCTGAGTTATTTCACGATCAGACGTTAGTACATGTTCCTGACACGGTCTAACCCCACACGTCTAACGTACACGTGCTAGGGGTGGGTTACAGCGAAGCCTTACCACGAAAATTAGCTAGCTTTCTTGTAGAACATACTTTAGATATATATATCTTAGGTGCCTCACACGGGCAACATTAGAGTTCAGAGTGTTCGTTAAAAATGAATTCACTGCATAAAAGAAAATGTAAATCTTGTAACGGTTACACCAAGGAGGTTTATATATAAGAGTCCTTGGTTATACCAAGGAACTTTGGGACAAAACGCCAAAGGACTTAAACATTTTTTACTACAATCGTACAACCTTGCAACCACGGTTTAAACCATGACTTCCCTATAGCTAATATGTTTGATAGAATTTAGAAAGATTAATATTTTTTAAAATTCTGATCATAAACAATTTACTGATTTCTTTGCAGCCGAAGCCGAATTCTTGCCGAGACTAGTCTCCAGAAGGTGTTCTTCAGAAGTGTACGGTGTAAGTGCATATTTTGGTGAAGGTCTGCCGTGCCACCGGGAGACATTCCCAAGTTTTCCGCTTGTGTGGTGCACAGTACTGGTGGACCTACCACATAATTCTCACTTCATGTACATGTATGTTTGGGTTCGTACTTAGTAATACGTTTTTTTTATTCATCAGTGCACAACAAAACAGTAACAAGGATAGTATAGTGCAGCACTCAGGTTTATAACTTTAAAAATTTAACTATAAAATTCTAACAGAATACGAACCACACGACAAAATACAATTAACATAGAAGTACACAAAGTTGACAAAACAGTTAAAACGGGCGACAGGAAATATTACTTAATATTGTGGGTGCCTTTAGCGATTTGTTCGGATTTCATGTATCTGTGTTCCAAATTACATATCTATATTGGATTTAAACACCATACGTAATATTGCTGTGTATGTAACTTAGATGTCACGTATGTTGTGACTTTTGGCCAATTCCTCCGAAAGTACATATGGAAAAAAAACTGTTTAAGAGTACAGGGCTAGTACACAATTAAGGTGTTGTTAAGTGTAAATATTTCAGTTTCATTACATTACAGTATATTATACACATACATGTATGTTACCTACTATACCTCAAATCATAGCCGGATTAAACCTCAAATTGAACAGAATATGTTTTTACACCTCATGACACCTCAAGTAAGTAAGCACTCACCGGTCTTGCCGACACCGCCTTGCCCCAGCACGACTACCCGGATCCCCTGTGTGCCTGACCCGCCGTACCGCGCCTGGCCTCCGTACCGGCTCGGACCGCTACTCTTCTTCAGCGACTTGTGGCGTACAAGCGATGTCATCATCACCTTTTTCCGTAGACTGTCTTTTCGTGAAGCCACTCTTCTCTGTAGCTGTATACACTCCTTGTGTTTTCAGCAGTTTTTTGACGAATGCACCGAAAGAAAACTCGTTGTCAGTTCGGGCCAATGTCTCCTGTATCTTACCTACGCTGTATTTAGTCCTAGACCAGCGATTGCGGACAAGGCTGGCCTTATATCCAGTGCCAGGAAAACTCCTTGTTTTCTTAGTTCTTTATGACGAATGCACCGAAAGAAAACTCGTTGTCAGTTCGGGCCAATGTCTCCTGTATCGTACCTACCCTGTATTTAGTCCTAGACCAGCGATTGCGGACAAGACTGGCCTTATGTCCAGTGCCAGGAAATCTCCTCGTTTTCGTAGTAGTTTTGTGACGAATGCACGAAAAGAAAGCTCGTTGTCAGTTCAAAATAATGTCTCCTGTATCGTACCTACGCTGTATTTAGTCCTAGACCAGCGATTGCGGACAAGGCTGGCCTTATATCCAGTGCCGGAAAAACTCCTCGTGTTCGTAGTAGTTTTGTGACGAACGCACCGAAAGAAAGCTCGTTGTCAGTTCGGACCAATGTCTCCTGTATCGTGCCTACGCTGTGTTTAGTCCTACTCCTAGACCAGCGACTGCGGACAAGGCTGGCCTTATATCCAGTGCCAGGAAAACTCCCTGTGTTCCACAAAGATGGACGTGTTGTGGACGAATCCTTATCTCATAGATAGTGACGGTCCGTTGCGTATGTAGCTCCGAGGTTGTTTTACCTTGAGTAGGGACGCAGTCCTAGTTTTCCTTACATGTATACGTCAGAGTTTTTGAGTCCCAGGCTGGAGTTTGTTACGTGTTCCACACGTGCCCGATTGTTTACGGTACTTACTGTGGTCACAACAGATCCCGTGTGTGATAAAACTGTTGGCGGACCTTCCGTTCCAACAATCCGTAGACAAAACTGTCCACAGAAGACCCTGTTTACATCATAGTCCACTAGAAAGACAGCCTTCTTGTCAAGATACGTCGTCAGTTTCTATATCATAGAGTCCCAAAGCGTATCTTTGTAGGGTTTCAAAGCTTCAACCAACGCTGTAAGTCTTTAACAAGAATCTGTACTTCGGTGGCTCTCTGATGTGCCTTTTGAAGTTTTTGTTGTTGCACAAGGGTGTCTGAGCATGTGACGCCTCCCCTTACATGTACTGCCGTGCGTCGCCTTACATGCCGGCGGTATTGTGGACTGGCAGTGTAGGGTAGCTTGTAGAAACAACGGCCGTCTTCCGTAACAGGGGATTCACAAGGTACACTGTGTTAAAGTCATTAGGATGCTCGTCGCGTGCCTAAGACTTTATCCCTTTGCTCCGTATGTACAAAGGTCTTTCAGTTGTCAGCGATGACAGGATGTTGTGGTCACCACCTGTAGTGTAGAGGAAGAGAGGAACTGTGAAAAAAACCTTAGCATGAAGGACATTGGCCGGAGCCATGTATCAGTTTCAAGAGAGTGGGATTTTGCAAGAGAGGGGGGATTTTCATGGAGATTTCATTTGATACCTGTACACTGTACGGTCGGACAGCGTACCATTATATACTACTACTACTATTAGCACTAATAATAGAAATATAATTGCGCACAGATGTAAAAGACCTCAAGGTTTTCACTAATGATCCAATTTTCTATATATAAGGCCACACCAATTTAATTTCTTGGTAACGGATTTTTCTAGAAAAATAATAACAGGCCTAGGCATCCTATTATGGCTCAAAATGGTACAATAGGAGCGCTAGCCATGAAGTCAACACACCAGGCTGATTAAAAATTTAAACACTGAATTTTGAACTTTAAATGATACCATTGTATTGAAAGATGGAATAACTGTAACAACTAGGATGAAAAGGACTGTTTTCAACCGTTCAGGGCAAAATATGAGCATTTTGCAGTTGATTCTGGATTTTTATTTTTATTTGCAAATCAGAAAAAATGAAGCGGGCGAACCAAGAAATTAAATTGGTGTGGCCTAAGTTGGGTATTGTAAGGTAGTTCTTAAAGAAAGATAGCCTTGGCTTTATCCGATTTGCAAGGGTTTTCTCACACTTGCTGGACGAAGTCAAAATCGTTTCTTAAAAACACCGCATACAAGTGTGCTCTGTTGTGTGATTGCAGCCCATCCCTATGCATAATATGCCCTACCATTTACGTAACACCATTGTACGCTCACGCACTCCCACAGAAAGCATGTTTAAGCACTTTGGAACCCTGTAAGACCACATTGTCCTCTACTTAGACTGTTGTCGGTGTAAAGGAGTAGCTATGACATCCCAATACCTTCCCTATACATAGTATGCCCTACCATTTAAGTAACGCCATAGTACGTACGCTCACGCACTACCACAGAAATCATGTTCAAGCACTTCGAGACCCTGTAAGACTACACTTTATCTAGACTGTTGTCGGTGTAATAGAGTAGCTATGACAGTCTAATACCTTATAGTCTATACATACATGTAGTGTGCCCTACCATTTACGAAACGCTATCGTACGTATGCTAACGCGTTTGCATTTTCTGTACACCGCCACAGAAAGCATGTTTAAATACTTCGGGACCCTTTAAGACTACATTGTCCTCTACCTAGACTGTTGTCAGTGTAAGAGAGTAGCTATGACAGCCCAAAACATTCCCTATACATAGTATGCCCTACCATTTAAGTAAAGCCATAGCACGCTCACACAGTCCCTGAAAAAGCATGTTTAAGCACTTAGGGACCCTGTAAGACCGCATTGTCCTCTACCTAGACTGTTATCGGCGTAAGAGAGTAGCTATGCAGCCCAATACCTTCCCTATACATAGTATCATGCGGTCCTACCATTTAAGTAACGCCATAGTACGTACGCTCACGCAGTCTCACAGAAAGCATGTTTAAGCACTTCGGGACCCTGTAAGACCGCATTGTCCTCTACCTAGACTGTTGTCGGTGTAAGAGAGTAGTTATGACATCCCAATCCCTATATACAGTATGCCCTACTACCATTTACGTAAAGCCATAGTACGCTCACGCACTCCCACAGAAAGCATGTTTAAGCACTTCGGGACCCTGTAAGACCGCATTGTCCTCTACCTAGACTGTTATCGGTGTAAAGGAGTAGCTATGACAGCCCAATACCTTCCCTATATGCAGTATTCCCTACCATTTACGTAGCAGTGTACTAACACCATTGTACGCTAACACAGTCCCACAGAAAGCATGTTTAAGCACTTCGGGACCCTGTAAGACTACATTGTCCTCTACCTAGACTGTTGTCGGTGTAATAGAGCAGCTATGACAGTCCAATACCCTATACATACATGCAGTATGCCCTACTACTAGTATTTACAAAACGCTATCGTACATATGCTAAGGCTTTTGCATTCGCATTTTCTGTACAACGCCACAGAAAACATCTTTAAGCACTTGGGGACCCTGTAAGACTACATTGTCCTTCACCTTGACAGTTGTCGGTGTCAGACAGTAGCTATAGCAGCTCGATACCCTACCTGCCCGTCTCTGCACGTCCAGGGCAGGGTAGAGCCAGGTTTACCCGCGCCATGACTACAGCCGACCCGCTGACTGCTCACAGATTTAGCCGGGTTTAGAATGTCGGCATGCGCTCGGGCGGGCCGGGGGGAATCATACTCGTGTTCCCGTCAATGATCGTGTGGCGTAACGGTAGAATGCTCCACTCGGAACCAAGAAGTCCCGGGTTCGAGTCCTGACATGCCACCGACCTTGTGTCCTTGGAAAAGCACTTAACACGACTTTCTTTTCAATTAACCCAAGTGACTTAACTTAACTCAATTGTCAGTCTGGTCAGGTTTAGGCCACGCCTACCTTTCTATACAAATCGAATCGAATTTGTGTTAAAGTTGAGTCAAATTTGACCCCCTCTGAACACGCCCTTAACTCTAAAGACCTACTCCCAGCCAGCCAACCATGGCCCAACTATGTCTTCAAATTCGTTGAAATCATATAAGTACGCAAAGAATAAAAAATTCACAAGAGCTCTTAGGCCACAGCGAGTAAATTTTATGGATAACATCCTTTGCAGACTCCAAATTTAATGCGAGCGGGGAAAAAAAACAAGGCGGGCCGAAAAAACAAGGTTACTACATTTTCAAATTTTGACTCAATCATTGCACAAATGGTTTTGATTCAGTGAGAACATCACATATGCACAGCCACCATCACATATCACTGCATCAAAGTAAGAAACAAAACATTACATCAGAGCCTTGTCTTGTCTTGTCTCCTCTCTTCATAGTTATCTGCCATCCACCTTCCGGCATTGCAACAGACATCTTTGCCCGTTTTTGGCATATTGACCACTGTCAGAAGGCAACAAAATTTCTCGGTTTTTTTCTCCAAAATCAGGCGAAAATTAATGCGCGCGCTGATGTCATCCATAAAAATTACTTGTTGTGGCTTTACTGTGTATATGAGGATGCGTATGGGACGACACATATTTGCAAGCGTGAAGGTTAGACAATGTTATGGTAAGCTGTGTTACCTTTATTCCCACGTTTTTAATAACTTTGTGGGAACGTAGCCAACAATCTATTCTCTGTTTTGTGTCACAGCCAGGTGTTATATTACCGCTGCATTTCTGACATTACCGGCAGGGGGCGCAACAGGTAGAGACACCTGTTCTATATATATTGGCACATACTGCTTCCCGTAGTATATTCAAACATGGAGGTAGAATTTTCTACCTCCATGATTCAAATCAGCATTTCATACTTTGGGCATTTAAAACTGCAGAAACAAGCCCCAAGATGAGTCCTTTATTTTCTGGGTGGTACCCTAAAAATCAGCCCAGGGCCTATGTAGGTAAATGACTAGACTATTGGCTTTTGAAAAATCGGATTTTCCAAGCCTCAAAAACTGCATTGGATGCCTGTAAGGCGACGACATGTATGAAATATCAGACTCCCTGGCCCATATATCAAACCAGCTTGAACCGGTCACGACCGCTTGGAAGTAGATCATCCCCCGCGGGAAATTCTAATTATGTTTCCCGCCATTTTAGTCCTTGATTATTTTTGTAACACGTCAAAAGTAGGTCACTCGTTTACTGTGTTATTCAAGGGACATGAGAGTTGCATGTACAAGAAGGGGACTTAGATTGAACAAAAAAGAAATTAAAGGCAAAATCGGCATCATAGAATGGAATTATGTTAGGCACATT